TAGTGCCCTCACCCACACATAAACACAACCCTAAAAGTGACTGTGACTCACTCTCCTTCTCACTGTCTCTCTTCCCTATGATTCTTAGATGCGTCCCTGGTCTTGTCCACACAATTGATGATGTTTCTTGTGTTGTTCTGTGGCTTGTACTTTGGTTCCATACTTCACTCCAGTGTCTGAAAGAAAACAATGTCCTGACCTCATCTGGCTGGCAATATGTCAGTGTGCGGCAGTGTCTGTTTCCTGTTTCACTTGTTTGTTTGTGCCACAGGTGAAAAAGGAGGATGTTGTTTTTTTTGTCTTTGTCTTAAATTATAATCTTATCTTGCAGATGTGAAGCTTTTGAGGAAGTATAGTATACTGTCTTTAGATTAGTCAGGTACATACAGGTACATGTAACACTTTCTCAAAGTGGTCTCAGACTTTTGTACCTGACTGTAAGTTGTTTTTTAATACAAACATCATTAAAGAAGAAAAAAAAGAAAGTTCCCATAAGATGTTTTTATATTTTACTAATGAATTGCATTAGCTAATTTACTCCAAAACTTCATCACTGCTTCTTCTCCCATGTCTCCCAGTCTGAACAAAAGGGTACCTGAGTCCTCAATGAGCCACCGCTAGCTTGAGCCAGAGAGCCCTCCAGTGGCAAGAGTTGGCACTACCTCTCCCTATGAATAGGATCAATAGGCAAGCTCCCTTTATTAGATCCAGATTTGACCGTCTGAAGGCACAGATGAATGATTTTTGTAGTCTGGTGAGCAGCCCACATCGAGTTCAGCCTGTCAGACATGTCTGGGGGGATGTGGGGGAGGAAAGAGAGACGCGGGCCTCAAAGTAAAAGCCTTGAGAATGCGGGACAGGGGTAAACCCTAAACCTGAGAGCTCAGACCGGGCTAGCAGCCTTCCAGGGAACAACACTTTTCTTATTGAGCCAGCGGGCCAGACCCAAATGAGAGGTGACAGCATATTCATTTCACTCAGTGTTTTTCTTTAAGGGCTTTTTAAAATGCTGCTGAATGATGAGCGGTCAGTGGATTTATAGTTCAGGGGATGATTTAGGCTTTCTAAATGGCACTGCTTTCCTCCTGCTCCTGCTCGCCCTGCGTTTTTCCACAAGAGCAGTCATTTTCAGGGGCTTTATTTCAGCTTCATGTTGTTCATGTAGGGATGACTCCCCCTTGGCAACCCAGACTGATTTTAAAATGTAAAGTGAGCACCTTGGTTTCCCATGCCCAGTCTGGACTAGAGGCAGGGTGTGTCCACACTTGCAGCTGAACTGACATAAGATAAGTGGTCTGGGAAATCCTTGTACATACCCAGAGAGGAGAGAGATTCTCAGTGTTTTGTGGTGTTGAGAAAAGTGATTATATGGATGCACAATGTAGAGCCATGAAGCATAGACACACACACAGACACAGACCTAAACACACCTCTCTTTTCTTATGATAAAGTGCATACCATGACATATTGTGTGTAATGACAACATGCATTTTGTCTCGACAGCATATGTCCTTTCCCAAAACATCAAGTCCTATAAGCTGTCATCTCAGCATTACCCCCCGAGGCGAGAATACCAAGACTGAACAGATAAGGTCATATTGTGGACATATCAGCGGTCTGCTCTGGACCCGATGAGTGGCAACACATCAGAGGCACTGGGAGGTCGTAAATTTATAGGGATGCTATTACCTTCATAAATGCTTGCCTCATAAAATGACTGCCTTGCTTTAATTTAATACTTCCCCTTGCTAATTATCACCGCACACACAAGTAGGCTGCTGTCTGCACTTGGCATTGTGTGAGGGATTTTAAAAGGACAGAGAGGGCACGTGTTTGGATGAGTTTCTTTGAATTTTGTTGTTCCATCCCCCAAGTTGTGTCTTGATATTAGACTGACACGACAAGCTCGACTTGTAAACACATTGTAACCCTTTTCTCGCAGCAAATGAAGCTTTAGCTTTGACGTTGTTGCAGTGTGTTGTATGTCAGTGTTCAGAGAGCGTAGACAGGTTAAGACCTTCCCCCAAGAGCTACAGTTATAGTTGTTTAACCGTGAGCACCAGGAAATACATCTCCTGCTTCTCCATTAGGCCTCCCCTAAATCTTTCAAACTGTAATTCAATACATGAAAATATAAAAGAAATATTAAGGGAGAGAGGACTTCTACTGTTTTGAACGTGCTCAGTTACTGCTGTTACCGCACTTACTGTTCCGTGTCTGGGCCATGAATGCCTTGAAGCTTGCGTGAAAAGATTTGATATTTCTGCCCTGCCTTCCCTGGTGCCACACTGCCATTTTCTCTCTCCCTGAGGAGCAAAAAAAAAAAAAAAAAAGGGGAATGAGACCGATCTCCATCTCCAGATCATCTCTCAGTAGCCCCTTCAACTAAATAAATAACTCATTACAGTTCAGAGTAAGGAGCTTCATTTACTCTAGGCGATGTAATCACAGATGTCTGTAGGTTGCCCACATCATCTCAAATACAAGTGCTTTTGGTGGAATCCCAGGAGAAGGAGCTCTGAAATGTTAACATACCAGTGAGGAAAGACTGGCAGTGGACTGCATATGGGAAACAGTTGATGGTAGATTGTTTGGCCGAACTGCAGAGAGGGATTAAGTCCGCTTATTAAAGCACAAGGGGAGATTCTGTTTGCAACTATATGCTAAATAAACATGAGACACAATCGAGACTGTCAAGAGCTCTGTTTGGACTCTCCACAAGAGGCATGATCACCTCACAGCTACATTCCACACTAAATGTCATTACCACGGCAAAGCACAAAAACAAGAAGTCGTAGATGGTGTAAGACTTGATGAAACATCCAGACAGAGGACTCGAGGGATTTGCACATATATTCTGTTTTTTCACCTCTTTTAAAAACATGAGAGGGTGTTGCCACATAGGAAAAAATCAATCAGTGTCAGAAGGTTTAGACAATTATAGCAGGCTGATTCAGCAACCTCTGATATCTGACATGGTACTGTTTGAAGTAGCATTGTTCTGCCATCTAAGGCTAAACAAGTGTTAATAACAATTAGAAATATTAATTAAGTAGTGTAGTATGACAGGTATATTTTAAGCAGTTACTGTAGGCTATCTGCCTGTTTTTTGTGTTTTCAGTGCTAATAAATCACAACCTCTTTTTCCACTCAGTCTAAATTTAATCCACTGAAATCAGATTTAACCTAATATGATGAGAACGTATTAAAGATTCCCATGAAAGGCTGTATTTTGGTTGACTGGGGACAGTTTGACTGGGTATACTATAAGCTGGATGCTTTGGCCTTTATTAATATTTCTATCAACATTAGCACAGAATACCATGTAATATTTTTTTTCTTCGTCTCTTGCTCTTTGAGAATTTAATAGTTGCTGTTCAAATGTGTTAGAAAACTTCTTCTACTGTATCCTGAGGAAGGTAACACAGCAGGCCCATGAATGCCATTTTTCAGTAAAACGGATGTTGGGATTTCCGTCCATTGTTTCGTGCTGGGAACACTATTATCAATGTTGTTGTTCTTAATCATTGCATTAGGAAACGGTGCAACAAACAGAAGGTCTAGCCGGTGATGAAAGACGACCTTTTTACCAGATGACCCCCCCCCCCCTCAGAAAAACAGTTTAAAAAAGAAAAAAAAAATCAGTGAAGCCAGTCGGTAGGCCTAATATATTGCCTCTAAGGATTATACTGTTTTTGTAAGTGATTATTTTACGTAACTGAGTGTCTCTATTGAAATTCTTCCCAAAATAAATCAACCTGTTTCAACTTAAAGTTTCCAAGAGTTATATCATTGCATCACCGTTTGGCAGCAAATAGGCTATCATATGTTGTAAAATAATAAAGAGCTGGAAAAACATAATTTTATGATATAGGTGCTTGTTGCAATGATCACATAAAACAGGTCCAAATTACAGCAATCGATCCCACATCTCACGCTCATCACATATAGGCTCTCTAAAGCAAAAAAAGGAGAAAAAGTTACAGGCGACTTCTCTGTTTCACTTTGGTTGCTCTGCGTGAAATAGCGACCTTGATGAGGCTATAAAATGCTATGGTTGGGCGACTTTCCTCACCGTGAATTGCCCCACATCCTTTGGTGGGACTCTTTGGTCGAAGTTGAGGGCAGCAAAGTGAAGGAAATGAAGTTAGTGAACTGAGTGGGGTCAACTGAGCAGGAAAAGACAAACCCGCTGCGGAGGAACTCGTGTTGCTGTTGTATTCCTACGGGAACTGTCACCACGAGGACAGGCTGGAACATGAATGAGTGTCTGCATAGAAACTCCTGATCATTCAAAATAAATTACACACATTTCTTTTTTTTTAAGAAGAGCTGATATTTGGCTTTAACTGGAGGGTTTACTTTGCAGAGCAGAAATGTACGAATCTAGAGGCTGTCTATTTCTCCAGAAATGTTTCACTTCAAGTTTGATCCTTTTGAATGATCTTTTATTTCTCTGTGAAAAGTTGTCAGATAAAAAAATGATGTCTGTAGTTATAATGGAGCATAAATCCATGAATCTGTGAGCACACCCTACCCAGCACTTAATTTGTGGAGGGGAGGTTTGCAGGTGAGATGATATAAGAGACAATAACATTTACTTGGAAGAGAAATGTTTTTGCAGAGATGCTTGTGGCGCGTTTGAAGTTGTCTTGACTGTTCACACAGCAGTTCACCCACATGCGCCACTGCAGCTGGGGTGTATGCGGAAAAACGAATAACTAATAGCAAATAAAAACAAGCTCAAAAACATCTAAAAAAAATATATACATATCTTTTACATATTTATCGACACCCCTCTCCACCAGAAGACTTTGCAAAGTAGATTTATGACGCTCTTTCTCTCTCTGCTTTCCCCTTATTTCATGGTTCAGTGGCCTCACACGGCAGGCAAGGGGAGGTTTTCTCTCGCTGCTCATTGGTCGCGGCTTTCCCATCTCAGGAACATTTCCATTCATACACCGGGCGCTCCTTTTCAGCCCCTTTCAAAATAACTCACTGTCATCATCATCGGGAAAACGGCTTTGCCTGGACGGGACTAATTATTTAGAATTGGAGGAGGAGTGATTCGATCGAAAGAGATCAAGCGACCGACACGGTAACGACAGGTGAGTGTGAAAAATAACAGAAGCGGATTGTGCGTTTTGCTGAAGTCCTGCACACTCTGCAGCGTAGGTGTGTGCACAGGAGGATTATAAATCGTTTCCACTTGTTTTATTTGTTATTATTTGTGCCCAGACTGACTGTAAAAAGCTGTAGATTGCGTCTCAATCGATTTTTAAAAAAATGCACGTTTCGAAATGACTGCAACAGTGAAATGAAACTGCAGCTTCCATCTCAATTCTCGTTAATGTTTGTGTCTTATTGCATCAGACTTGTTGTTCAAACTTTTACCTTATTCGAGGTCTGAGTTGCATCTGACTTTTGCAATCGAAAAACACCACTCACTTCGTCGCAGTCTCACTTTAGGGTAGTCTATAGGTAAGGAGGGGGGGGGGGGGGGGTGGACCATGCCGTATTAGCTGAAAATCAGTTGGCTCTCGTTTATGATGGATAACAGCAAGGTAAGATGCTTAAAATGTAACACTAGAGGGGTCCCGGCCCACGGGGCTGTCTCAGAGGAAGGTTCACGCCGTTATTCACCAGTCGTCCTCTGCCTAATTGGCTGCAGATGCGGTATCCTATGCTCTTTTTACCGCGTAGAAATTGGATGCATTTGGGGAACTTTATGAGGCGAGCCCTGCGTTTGCCTGCAGGAGCTGAGAAGACAAAAAAAAAAAGAAAAAGGTCCCTTACAAGTATTTAAACCGTGCCACGTTCATGTATAACTCCCCCCACCCTTTTTTTTGGCTAATTTATCATGGGACAGGAATTCAATGCGCAAAAAAACTTCAGCAGAAACGTGAAATTGCGCAGTAAAAGGAGAAATTGTGGTGCTATTAAACTCCTGATCGCGTGTAAGAAGGTACAAGTCTGCCTGTGTGTTTTTTTTTTTGTTTTTTTTTTAATTCTTTCATTTTTGTTGAATTTCCCTGTCAGGTATTGGCTTAAGATCACAAGGGCCTGAGATCTGCATCCACCACTAATTATGCTAAAATGCACAGTCGGAAAAAAGTTCATGATTGTATATTTATAACCCTGACAGGTCAGAACATGCATGCTACTGAACAGGAGAGAGGTGTCCCATAAGCCTTGTTAAGATATGTTGGACTTTAATGGTGCGTCCTGGATGCCATTATAGAGGTCCATATACGTTAATTTGCCTTATCACACAGTCCATATAACAGCCGTTTGTGATGGTATATGCCACTACCTTCCTAATAATTGCACAGGGAGGGAAGGGCTAAAGACACCGTCCTCTAAGTGCCCTTTCACCCTAGACTTTGTAAGCTGCACTTATTAAAGCGAAAAGTGTTTCAATATGTGGTAAGCTTTAGGGGGAAAACGTGATGGGGGTTGGGATGAGGCCCCCTTTTTCTCCATGCTGCCCAGCTCCTATTGGAGCTTACTCCTGTTGGAGTAATTCATTCATGTTACCAGTGGGTTCGTGGTGTAATTTCCATCTGCTCATGTTGTTAATGTATGGCCAGCTGTAATTAAAACCTGCCCATATCTAATACCACTGACCACCGCTGAAAGAAGAAGGGGGAAAAAAGAATGAATGAATGAATGAAGGCATTATGTGAGCAGTTATACATGCAGGGGGCCATTAAGCAAATTTGACTTCCCTGTATTTTGGTGGAAGCGGCAACCCACGTGTGCCCTATGTGGAAGTTCACAAAAACAACTAATAATAATAATGATAATAATAAGAGGAAGAAGAATGTGATTAAGTTATGAGTGATTGTCTACGTTTTCCTTTCCTCAGGGCCCACTGGACACTGAGCACCCTTGGGCCTGTCTGTCAAGTAGACATGTTTCAAACTGTCCCTGACACGTCGTCTTACGTCAAGGTAAGACACCACCGTCTCTTCGATCAGGTAATGTTGGAGGGACAAAGTGGGGTCCTTTCATTTCTTATGACTCTGGCTGAGAAAAAAAAAGCATGTGCAACAAAACCCCCTGCAATATCATTATCCCCCCCCCCCCCCCCAAAAAAAAAAAAGTGTATTTCCAGTCAGTGAGCATTATGTAACGATCATCAGTTATTTGCATTAGAAACGAGTAGAATTAAGTATTTACGTTGCATTTTCTCCTGATTTTATGAGTAGAAAATATTATTGCAACATTAAATGATAACAGCTCTGACACTTGCGGCTTTACCATCATGCACATATGCCAGGCCTGTTGCATTTGATCGGGACCTTGTTATTAATTCTCCCTGCAATGCCTGCACGTTGACTCTGTTGAGATGTCACTGTTGTGATCTATCTGAATATCGATTTGATTTTTTTTTTTGTCTTCAATCCAAGAGCTACTGCTGTTATGGTTCATCTTGACGTCACGAATCTCTCTCTCTCTCTCTCTCTCTCTCTGCCACAGTCCTGAAAATGTAAATAAAGCAAACAGCGCACATCTGGTTTTCACATTAAAAAAAACTGCATCGTGCCACATATGGCGCAGACCCTGCATTTCTGAGACGCTCCAACCATGAAATATTTCTTTTTGATATAAGACCATGTATAACCATATAGGCTAATGCCCAACATGATGTTCAACGTGCACTTTGCTCGCAGTTGTCTCTGTGAATCTGGGTGGTTTGCCATGACGACGTTTGCTCACATCATAATAATATACCGAGGGTGACTGCTCGGATTGTGCCTCATTAAAATGAGCCATTATGCAGAGGCGAGCTCGGTGATATCTCCATAATCAAGGTATTTTTCCAAGGGCGACTTGCTAATGTTTTGAAGACTTATTCCCCCTTTGAATAAGGGCTCTTTTCATCCAGGCGCAGCGTTTGTGCCACTGCGGAGACACTCGCCGTTTTAGGGCTCAGAACAATTCCTGATTTGTTGTGAGGGAGTTGAATGGCAAGGAATGTTTTAGGAGAAAATATGCTTTTAAAATGAGTCTCTCTGCTCCCTAAAATAAAGAAGACAGGAGGCCAGTGAAGGAGGGAAAGAGGTTAGAGGGACCTGAGCAGGAAGGCGAGCTAACTTCGAATTTTACAGTTACTTTCATCTCAAAGCTTCTTTGATTTGCTCTGGAAATGCAGTCTAGATTATTTTTTTTGTTCTCATTCCAATAATGTTATTTATTGTTTTTTTTTTTTGTTTTTTTTTTTTTTTTTTTTTCTGCCCGGAATCAGGTTTGGCGTGCATTTATTTGCGTGCAAGTGCTGCACTCACTTACTCACACACATTCACGGAGATATTGGTCAGAATGTGGCACGCCTCAATACAAAATTTAAAAGAAATATCCCTCATTCAAGCGAATCCACGGCCCAGCATTTGGTTTTGTTTGGTTAAGGCCAGGCGAGACTGGAACTCTCCAATAAAAATAAATCTCAAATTAATTATGGCCTAGAGCGAGGGGCCAGACAGTTCGTGCTTATATGCGCTGCAGACTCCACTTTTTGCCCTCAGTATTTTGACTCGGGCTGTCTTTTAGCCCGAGAGAAGGAATGATCTGAATACAAGTCTGCAGTCTAATAAACAGCAACTTTAGCAGGCTCACATGGACTGGGACTATTTCTTCATTGTAATAACAGTCCGCCAAAAAGTTTCTCACAACTTTCAGAATATGAAAAAATAACATAATTTCCCACACCAGATTGAGTTTCCCATGTGTATGTAAAAAAAAAAAAAAAAAAAATGGTTTGATACAAAGTGTAAAACAAGAAAATGGATCATTTGGTTGGGACAGGACCACACGTATGTACTTTTTTCTTTTTTTTTTAACAAATGCTAAACATTAAAGAACCCCCCCCCCCCTTCAGTTTATTCCCACTTTAGATCTCCCCTTTGTCAGACTGTTTTCACTTGTTGAGCCTATGTGACAAATAAAAGCCTCAATACTCACTCCTTTTTTTTCTCATGTATGACATTTAACTCCATATTCTAAATCTTAGTAGGTCTTGGTATAAGCTAAAGAAGAAAGGATGGGCCTAACAATTGAAAGGCTTCTGAACATAAACTCTCCATAGTGTCCGCCCACCTCTGGCTTGTTGCCCCAGCGGAGAGACAGAGGAGCTACTGGCTCGTGGTGTAGGCTAAGGCAGAAATGTCTGGCTGTCTAGTTCCAGCGTCAAGCCAGATGTTCTGTGGTTCACTGTGTAAACCAACTTGCATCTGTTTATTGGCCTTCCAAAATGTTTGTTACCACTGTATTCATTATGGTCTTGGTAGGTCCTGGACCCCCAGCCCTCTTAATCAGCTTTATGACTGGGGGTGGCAGGTATTTGAATACAGAGAGGGAGTAATGTTGTCTGTTGGTTTAGCGTCATTTGAAAAGCATCCTGTAAATTACATGACATTACATTTCATCTATTTACACAACCTAAACTAATCTTGGCCGCCACATTGGAGTGGAGGGTAAACGTAACTTGTTTATTAATGGAAACTGGTGACATAATCCAAAGAGTCACAGTATCATAGTGGCAGGATGGGTATTTTAACATATATTTGTATTTGTGGTAATAAAGCCCTGTATAGTGAATCACTAACTCAAGGTCACATTGTAATCACCTCTTTAATTTCTCACTTTATCAATGGCATCATTAAAATAAATCAAACCCACATACACAGGAATGTAGAGATGAAAAATAAAGAAACCAAACCAGTCACTGAAGAGTTAAACAAGGTGTCTCCCTTAATTACACGAGTCTGAACTGGCCTCAGGCAGGAGAAGCCTTGACCCTTAGCAGGATCCAGATGTGGTGGTCCCAAGGGTGGGGGCCCACAGCCCCACCAGACCCCCGAGTCGAAAGCAGACAGGCCGGCCCTGCTGTCAGTCGTCGCGGCGGCGTATAGGCCGCTCCCCAAAGCAGAACCCCACCACTGCAAAAAATTTTCATCGTCATTTCAGCTCAGTCGTATTAGGCCTATGTTGTTAAACATTATAAAAACAGGCAGTGTAATGAGATACATTCGCTTTTGTCCAAAGTAAAGTCTTAAATGTATTATTTTCCCATCAAATGTGGTTTTCTTGATACTGATGGAATGATCAGATTTTTCCAAACTAGACTCAAACTTGTTTAAAAAATCCCTGAAACAACTACAGTACTGCAATCCAGATTAAAGTCTGTTTTCAATCTCTAAATCTAAATTACAAACTTGTTGGATTTATATGTTTCATTTGTCCTCAGTAAAAAACAAACAAAACAAAAAAAAAGAAAACAAGTGGCAATAGATTTGTAAAAATGGACTTTTCTTGCAGTGTTATTGGCCTGGTCACGTTCAAAGCTGGCTCCATGTCTAGCATCTGCACTAAAATTATGCTTGAATTGATGAGGGCAATTTCATAGGGTAGACGAAAAGAAAAAAAAATCTTTGTGGGGGTGGGGATTAGAAGATTTCTGATTTTGTTTAGGCTCAGGCGAGTAGAGGGAGAAACCATCGAATGACAATAGCAAAGTTAATTCGTAAAAATAATGATAAAAATATATTTATGATCGTTTTGTTGACGCATGCTGCGTGTCATCCATTCAGCCCTGTGCTGAGCAGCAGACGCACACGTGTAGAGCAGACCCTCAGACTATAGTGCGGTTAGGAACTGAATGCTTGGATTTTTATTAATGGTGTCTCAGGGCAACTTCACAGAGAGCTGTAACAAAAAAGACAAGGTTGCAACAGCTCCTGCCATAGGTGTTCAGCTCTCTCTGCTGTCTTGATTTAGAGCTCCATCAGCAGCCTATACGTCTGACAGAAACATCTGTCAAGATGAACTTTATTCAATGTATCACTTTCACTTTGAAATATAGAATAAAACAGAAAATATGTTGATTTACAGAAGGATGGAGGCATGGCCAGATGTAAGTGTGAAGTGTAGGCGTGAACCAAAAAGCGCTCTAAAACATGGGATCACATTAGTTATAGTGTCCTGTGACAGTAAACCTCATTCCAGAAAACCTGGATTAAATGTGTGCAGAAATAATTCATAAGTCGGATAAATAGTAAACCCGTCCACACGATCTGTGCCATTACTGGGAAAGCAAAACACACATCACTATTCTACAGCAGGCTACACAGCAATGGCTGTGCACAACGCAGGCAGCCATCCTGTAAATATTTCCGAGCAGAAAAACATAACAGCGGAGCGACAACTCAATTGTTTTCCCTGCTTATCTCTCTGGGACAGTATCCTGCTTTTTTGAAGGCAGGGCTTTCGGTGACACACAGCTTCCTTCTCAACCTTCTCAACAGTGGTGACTTCACTTCCCAAATTTAGAGGAAAGAAAAAACTCAATCCGGTAAAAGTGTCTCTTTCTCTCCGCCACATACCGGGGGCTGGAATTAATTCAGGAGCGTGTCATGTTTGGGATATTGTCGGGGTCCGCTGAAAATTGCGCAAAATGGACGGAACTATTAAGGTAAGGGTGGAGAACGGGGTGTATGAGTTTGTGGGAGACTGCTTTTTCGGAGTTGCGCCTCCTTTTTTTAAGCAATGGGTTGAAATGCCCCTCTGTGTCGGTCTGTGAGCTGGGACCTCCAATCTGACGACGATGAGCGGCTTTTTTCTCTCGGTCTGAAAGCGGTAACGAGATTTCCTCCTTTTTCTCCTCTCTTTGAAAGTATCCCTTGTCCTTTTTTCAATAAGATGCCTGGTTGTGAGGAGACGCTACGGTGTGGATTTAAGGCTAAATCAGAATCACGCTTTGGACTTTTGGGGACCAAGCGCACAATTACGCACGTCTGGAAAGACACAAAGGAGTGGCTATTTGTTTCAGACAACGCGCTGTAGGCTGTAATTTCATATAGGTATAAGTAATCCACGAGTTCAACGATTTGGTTTAGTCTGGGAAGCGGGGATTGAGCAATAGCTATGACTGGATGTACCGCTGGATATGATGTGTCGAGCTGCGCAACAGCGGTGTGGCACATCGCCCGGCTCGGTCCGAAGATCCTGTCGTTGTTCAGAAAAAAACTGTGATGATTTAGTGTTTTAAAAAGAAATAACCATTCCCTCTTTATTGCTGTTGATTGTTGAGAGTGCTTTCCCTCCGTTTTGTCGGACAGAGAGTTTTGTCAAAGTGTAAGGAAAGCTGTCATTTGGTAACTTCATGCGGTAACTGCACAGTTTGCAACACTTTAAACCACAAGGCTTCACAATAATACCTTGGCTTGCTCCTTATATAGTTACACAACTATTTTGAAATGGTATGTTGGTAGTCAAGAGCGCTGGTCTACATTAACATTGGCTACTGGCCCCCGACAGTCAAATTCCAGATGTATTATGGCTGCAGCCACCAGATGTTGAATGGCAAGTCCCTATTAGTTCACCCTGCCATGCGTCCAGTCTGTGTCCTCTGGTTAACAAGTCTAAGCTGAGAAGAATTCAGCTGCAGCATCTGCATTTACTCTTATTGTTGCTGAAAAGTGATGCATGTGACTTATTTTCTTTTGGAAATTTAAAGTAGCTGGTTTGTGGCGGCTGGGTGTGGTGTGAGTTTTGGAGGAGTGTAAACGTTGGCCAGACAAAAATGTCAGGCTGCATATATAGTCACTTTGAATCCCGTCATTCACAGCACTCTGAGTGTTTTGTTATGTGCTGCATGGGGATGAATGCCATACTACAGGAGGATATGAATGTCTCAGCCTGGATGTCTGTAACAAAGCGAGAAGTTGTGTGACTTAATGTAATCATAATTGAATCCCTGAGTGTAAATGACTGGCTGTGAGCTGCATTCATGCCCGCTAAAAGAAAGGAAGGGCTCTCTAGCCATGAGAGCTTCCTGTCCTACACAATCTTTTCCTGACAGGTTTCCTCTTCCTTCTTAAACAAAAGACAGGAATGCCCCCCCACCTCCACCCCCCCCCCCCCCCCCCACCCGCCCCCCCCCCCCCATACCCCGGCGTGGCTACTGCTTAGATGGCTGTGTGTGAACGCCAAACAGACACACGTGCAATTTGGATGTTGGAGCTATTGCATATATATATATTTATATATATATATATATATATTCAGTCTGCTCCACAGGCGTTGTGACGCACTTGGAGAGATAGACTTGGCTGATGTAAACAGAACAGAGGTGGCTCCCAGCAGGTGTCACACTCACACAATGCTTATAACTGGGCTTGCAGCTTCACAGCTGAGCTATGATTTATTTGATGTTTTTTTCCCTCCTTTGTCTGTGGCACTGTAGAAAGATATATTGCACAACTAGAATTCAAATCTTATAAAAAAATGTTTTCCAAAGACCAAATGTTTTTATTTCAGAAGCTTTCTAGAGATTATTATAGATTTTAAGCAAGGTCTTCAGGAGAAGTTCATCTGAAGTGCTCAAAAGTGGCACTTAACCATTTCAGAAATTATCTGTGGACATTGTGAGATAGACAAACAAAAAAAAGAGAGTAACTGCCTGTAGCCCTCACTGGCAGTATGTGTGTGTTCCTCTCAGATACTGGAAATAAAACACAGCAAATTGGCACTGCTCTGTCATCCTTTCAGCGTCTTCTCATGAGCGTGGCGAGCTCCTATTTTTAAAAAACCCTCTGCGATCTTGATAGGCACACACCACTTGCCAATCATGGTTTCAATTGCACGGGCTGATATGTCACTGTAAATATAACGTGTAACAGTCAAAATAGCCGACTGAGCCCTTATCGGGCCGTAATGAGACATTCCCTCACTCTTCCACACTTTATCATCCGCAGACGAGCTGCTGTGCTCTGCTCAGATAGTGAGTCCTGCTGCCAGTGTTCAGACTATGATGGATCCACTGATGAAATCACTGGAAAATCTAATTCTGGCGAGATGGTTAAATGCTTCTGGAGAGGTTCTGCTTTTTTTTATCCAACCATTAACCTGAAAAGCAGTACTTTAGGAAATGTCCAAAGTTTGTTTTGTGTTTGTTATATGGCGCAGGCCTAGCTATTTCTAACAGTGGGAAGAGACATTAAATATAGTGCCTGAGATTTCTCTAAATTTAGTTTGATGCAGAGTTCTCAGTTCACTTCATTATATTATTAAGCCAGAATAATAATAATAGGTGGATTAAAACGTAACTATAAGACTTTGTAAATCTTTGTATCCATACTTTACAGCCAGTAACAGGGCTGTGGCATTACAACAGAGGGCACTATGGTGCAAACACAGTTTTTCCACAGCAAAAGTCGCCATAACTTCTGAAAATGAATTATACAGAGCAAAGGCTTCACCTTTCACTGTCTTTTGTTAGATAAGTTTGTCTGTAAAGTACCAGTTATTTCAACTACTATAGTTAGAAAGTGGCTGACAATTACTATTTAAGTATATGGTCAAAAACATAGATCAAGTATTGGCATATAGGTGATCATAATCAAAAATACTGTCATCAACTACAATACTCTTCTTGCTTATGTTTCTTGTTTGAGAACTCAGATTTACTCAGCCATATCATTTCTTGTCTTACATGTAAAAACATTATCACTTTGTTAGTGTTTATTATATATAAAGCAGCTATAACTGCCATAGAGACACCCGGTTTGTGATTGCTGTAGCTAAAAGAATGTTGTATTTTTCAACTTATTGTCAAAATAGAGTTGGCGAGAGAGCATCCCTGACATTTATTGTGACTTTAGTGTTTTCGTGCACATACTGTATATACCACATTCATATTATAGTCAGTCTCCGTATGTGCCGATTCGAACGTTTACCCCAAAAAGAGACATTTGTCATTTGAATAGGCCTAAGTGAAGACTTTCTACTCGCATGAAATGTCTTAGAAAGGAATGGCACTGAAGTTATGTGAGATCAGGAGGATTTCACTTTCATAAAAGTAACATTTTAGAGAATGCAAACGACATGTTGGAAATATTGATCAATGAATATCAAGTAGCATTTTCCCCCTGAAGCAGATATGTGGCATTTTGGAATGAAATAATTCAGTCCCTGGGGATTAGACACGTCTCGGTCTAAGCTGTGCCATCAGATCCTATCAGATCCAGATGTGCCTCAGACCTGAGCCTAATCCTCAGCAGAGGCATATGACTGTAATGATTTAGCTTTCTGACTTGTTGTTTTTTTGTATTTGTTTCTTTGATTGTTTTTAACAATGATGGATAGGGCGTTTATAACAAAGGCTGACTCATCAAGTCATTGTGAAGCAGTCCCTACATTCTGTGCCAGCTAAAAGTTATTGCCTGGCACAGGTCTGAGATGGTGACATTACCCAACTCTGTTCACTATCAAACACCACAAGTGGTGACATCTGCATGTTAAAATGTAACCCACCAAGTGCATAATCCATGCTTTACTTCCAAGACATTACACGAGGAGCATGTTGAAACCACGTAATATCTTGGCCGGCCCTGAGTTTCTGCGTTTGTTTTCTTTAATAAACTTACATTGCTCCAGCTGAGCCACAGCAGAGGGGTCAGTGTAGCCGTGACCCCCCCTGCTTCTGTTGAGTCTTCAGCTGTGGAGGGAAGCCCAAGGCCCAGACAAGACAGACACATCAGGGCCTGACAGGGGATTTTTGTGTCCAGCAAGTTAAGAGGATACTGATAACGGGCAAGAGAAAACGATTACACAGCCAGGGAAATTTGTTAGGATACTTTTGTAAAGTCAGCATGAGAAAATGAGAGATTCTTGATTTAAAAAAAACAAAAAAAAACAAAACTTTTTTTTCCGTTTTATTTGTAAACCTTTTAACGGCTCATTACTGGTAGAAAAACCTTACCTAATGGATCCTATGTAAGTAAACCGGTACGTTGGATGCCTCCAATCTTACAACTCCGTCTTACTCCACTGTGGGCATGATTGAAGTCATCCTAACATCAACAGGAAATGACAGTTGCTACATGGGCTGTGTACACAAACCACTTAGGATGCCAGACTGTGATATGACCCATAACTGCACATAATTGCTGTAAACAGAAATACACAAGAGACTGAAAAATTGACATCACAAGTTTCTGGGTAATGTCAAATGAGTGACTTGATGTTGTATCTGCTCATGATTTTCAGTGTATTCTAATCATTCTTGTTGGATGACTGTGTCCTCCCACTCTTAAAGGAATAGTTGGTCATTTGGAGCAAATATGACATTGATACCACTGTGATATCTGTTCATTGAATATGAAGCTAAAGCCAGCAGGCAGTTAGCTTAGCTTAGCTTAGCACAAAGGAAGCAGGGGAAACAGCTAGCCTGGCTCTGTAGAAAGCACCTAAAGCTCTTTAATTAACATGTTATATGTGATGAGAATAGAACTAATGACAGTATTCCCCAAAATGTGAAGCAGTTCCATTAAGGGTGTAGGACAGAATGGTTGTACATGACCTTCTCACTTGTTAAGTGAGTCAAGAAACACATACCTAATATTTGCTCCTTCCACCTCCAGGAGGCGCTATCAGTGGTGAGTGAAGACCAGTCCTTATTTGAGCCTCCGTACGCTGCTGCTGCCCCTCTCCCCAAGACAGACATGACTGCATCTGGCACACAGGACTACGGCCAGACCCACAAAATCAACCCTTTACCCCCCCAGCAGGAGTGGATCAACCAGCCAGTGCGGGTCAACGTCAAGAGAGAATATGAGCACATGAATGGATCCAGGTATGGCATGACAGCCACTTCCTGTGTTCTTACATTCTTCTGTGTTGTGTGAAATATGACTTTTTTTTTTCTTTTTTTTTTTCTTTTCTTTAAATGGCCATTTCTTTACCACAACTAAGCTTCACTTTTGCATCTAATCTTTGATATAATTGGCCCTGGCGAGTGCAGGGCTTAAATATCCCGTGCCAAAGTAAATGACTGGAAAAGAAAACCAACAACACCCAATTTATCTGCTGATAATATTTTTACAACTTACTTGTATGTGTGTGTTTGTGTAGCAGGGAGTCTCCAGTGGACTGCAGTGTGGGTAAATGCAATAAGCTGGTGGGGGGTAACGACACTTCTCAGATGAACTATGGAAACTACATGGATGAGAAAAATGCCCCTCCCCCCAACATGACCACCAATGAGCGTCGAGTCATTGTACCTGCAGGTAAGACTTAGCTATGTGATCACCACTGCGCTGTATCTGTATATTCACTGCACATTTATAAAGGTGCAAATTGTACCAGGTGTTTCTCCCGCGCTGCTGCTGCTGCTGTGAGTTCAGACAGAATCACCCCTCTCTTTTGGTATCATTTTGCCAATGCTGTAAATGTTTTATGAGTCCCAGTTTTTATGTACCCAGTTCATGGTGTAAAGCATTGTTCCAGTGTATTACGTCACCCATGGGAGCACAGCTGAATGTGTGCAGGTAGAGAGATGTCAGCTTGTCTGCCAGACCAATATATTTCTCCACTGTTTGTACAAATTTGATCTTTTAGCATGCAGAATAATACAGTTCAGGGAGTAACAAGTGCAGTTTTGAGGTTAAAGCCTTTAATTTTAATACCGAAGTTGATTATTTTGTTACACATGAGCCAGAGAGAATGACTGTATTTTCCCAAAAAATGAGCACATCTAATTCATTTAATTAAAATCGGACGGAGCCTTGATAAAGTTTCCATTATAAAGGCTATTCAAGTGTTAGTACTAAACTGATGCAAAAGGCCACTCATCTATCAAACTAATAGGAGCTCTACATGGAGGCCACTCCTTAACCACAAGTGGTAAGTTTGGGGTTTGGTTTTCCAACTTGGCTGTGCAGTATATCAGACTTGGGTCAAGTAGTTCTTGCAGATACTTTGTATTTAGCTTAAATAAAGCAAAATGTACTACAATGTTTGATCACAGGAAGGGATTTCAGAATATTACTCTGAAAGATGATTTACCTGAAACCTAATATGAGTCATCCCACTCAAGCATACCCGATTCATATGGTTAAAATAAGACAAAGAATATTTACAACTAGCTAAACAACGTCTGCTCCTGATATAAATTTCTGCTTCCAATTTGTTCATTTCTCCCCCTCCCTTTACCTTAGAGAGGCACTCCCGGCTCTGTCTTCCCTGCTGTCTGTCCACAATCAATCCTTTCACATTCAACACAGCTCTATGCTGTCTTCCCGCAGACCCGTCGTTGTGGTCCCAGGACCATGTGCGCCAGTGGCTAGAGTGGGCCATCAAGGAATACGGCCTGTTAGAGATCGACACAGCCATGTTTCAGAACACCGACGGCAAAGAGCTTTGCAAGATGAGCAAGGACGACTTCCTCCGGCTCACCACCATGTACAACGCCGAAGTGCTTCTCTCTCATCTCAATTACCTCAGGGAAAGTAAGTACACTCAGTGCAAATTAAGTGCAAGAATAAGCAAAGAGGCAAATCAAGAGGAACAATGTATGATGATCAGTTAATGGCTTACGGAGCATATATTGAACTCCAATTTATTAATAGAAAACAGAACTGAAAAATGAAGAACATATTGAATCATCAGCAAAAGGACAGTAATGTTGATGCACTGTGCTCTTTGTATTTTTGCTGTACATGCTGACTGTGCCTCAGCTGAAGTCTGCACTGCCATCCGTCTTTGCCAAAGAAAAGTCAAAATCAACTTTCAATCAAAACACAAGCCTCTTTTCATATACTTTTCTCCACTTTTGGATGAGAAGTTAGAGTGAAAAATCGCCAAACCCGGGCAAACAACATGACACTTTTTTTTTTGTCACCGCACCATATTCACATTACCATCAATAAACAATGAAATTGCTTTTACTGGAAACTAATTTCTCCATAATGTCTACCCAGTACTAAGCACGAGCTGTGGAAACCAAGAGGGTTTCTTTCCCCTCTCGAGATAACCATCAACTGCATCCCCACCACTGCCCCCCTCCACTACACTTTGCAGCGCCTTATTCCACATGGTCCACAGAAAGATGAAGCCCAGGTGCATTGCCTCAGGAATCACGCTAGGCCTGTGTGTTCAGCACAGCAAAGAAAGTTGATCTGCAATTTGCAACGGAGGCAACTAAATTTGAGCCTCTTACCTTTGAAGAGTTCCTCGGTGCAATCCGGCTTCATATGTTTCGGCGGGGAAACGAAGCCAATTTTCTGAGGCAGTATGCAAATTGCATTTCAATACAAGATGTAACATCTGGTGCGGGTATTGCTTTGAATACACAGTAATGTCTAGTTCAGACAATAGCTTCATCCACTGTTTACTATGAAAATAAGCAGATCATGAGTAATGTGATTGGTGGACATACAGAGAATTCTTTTCATTCTGTACTTTGAGACAGTGAGAGCTGCGTCTGCTGCGGCTGCAGAATATCATGACACCACGCTGGGTGGAGTGACTGATGGCTCAACTAAATTTAACATTACTCCCAAAAAATTGTGATGGGCCTCAGTGTGATGTAATGGGAACTGCATTTTGTGGGTGTCAACAGTTTTCTCTGTGCACAGCGTCTGGGCAGAGAGAGATGCTTGTCATGAGTATAACAGCCTCATTGTGTAGCACTGCAGCGGGTGGATCTGTCTGACCGCCACTGGGCACACTCCGCAGAGCAGTTTTCATTATGGCCACTGGCTGCGGGACTTAGCCACGGCTTAGGCGTGCTGCACCGCGACTCTGCCCATTGCTGTCCTTTTTTTGATTTAGACCTTGTGTGTTTTGGAGACAGAAGAGATGTCTTGGGAATCCTCTCCACTTGCCAGTTGAAATTGCTTTGGATCTGTTCCCGACAATCAAAAAGATGAATGCTCCCGTCCCGCGCCTGGACTGACTGACCTGTTTTGGGGCAGCTCTCTGAGAAGCGAGCAGTGTGTATTATTGACACTGGGAGCCTGAGGGCAAGAGAAACCATGTTAGTAAATGAACGTCTGAGGAAGACTAAGAAGAAGGAGGAGGAGGAGAAGGAAGATGAGGAGGGCTGAGGTTTCATGCAGACCCTGCAGGGCTGATGATTTGGAAACTAAAGCCATTCTCTCTTCTCCCCCCGCAGCACAAACAAACACAATCATAGACGAGGAGTAACCCCGTCCAGAAAATAGACCTCTGGCTTTGCTCACGAGAGCTGGAGCTGGGCCGAGCTTCCAGAATACAGAAAAAGAGAGAAGGAGGGGAAAGCCTGGGCCAAGCCCTGGAAGTATTAGTGATTACAGGTCATGTGATGTCTTCCTCCAATTCCATTCACCAATCTTTACTATATTACCCCCCATCCTCCACCAAAAGATGGATGGTCCAAGGGGATACTGCAATCATTTCATACACATCTGTGTGCATCATGTGTGCATTTGGTTCTGGTTATTGAACCTCTGATTAACATTCCTCAGAGTCATTAAGCGCTGTATGTACACTCGGCACGGGGCAGGGACATACTTCCCCACCCTACAGCCATACCATAACAAAACATTCCTGCCACGTCATGCGCAGAAATATCGTTCAGACGCCCACGCTGGTGCAACTGTGGGCACAATCTGAACATCTGTCTGGCTGCCCAGCTGCTTGCAGTAACAAGGGTAGTTACCCATGCATTATTTTGGCCTCATTGTTGGTCACTTATCCAGATTTTTATAAGTGATGGCCGCCCGCACCCCAATGTGCTTTCAATTTTGGGTGCAATTTGAGAATTTGTTCAAATTAGTCTGTCAGGGAGGGACCGCGGACTGTTTGCTTTATCGCACCCATGTAGGTCGGTTTGATACCACATGTGCTGGAAACGGAGCGGAGCAAGAAACCTCAGACAACGAGAGAACTGTATCCTCCCGACACACAGAGATGCAAGAGGAGAGGGGGAGAAAGAGGTGGGAAGAAGGCAGAAATGAAAGGAGGGAGTGAGGAGACAGAGAATTGAGAGCAAATCTGCTGTAGACCTGAAGAAACATAATATTAGAAATTGATGAAAAAAAATATCCTTGACAGATAGCTTTAGCAGTAGTTACTTGAGGACAAGGGCAGGAGGGTGTGAGCAGGAGAAACAGTTATAGAACGCGAGTGTGAGATAGAAAAAAAAAAAAAAATCAGGGGGTGAGCTATTTTTTAAAAGTGTGTGGAAACGGTCCGAGGTGGTCATGATTGAGTGCCTTTGGAGGATAGCAATAGTTCTGTTTCCCAGCTGTCGCCATTGCTTGTGTGTCTGGATGGATTTACAGTGAGGGAGTCAAGACAGAGAGAGAGAGAGGGAGAGAGAGAGAGAGGGAAAGAGAGAGAGAGAGAGATAAGTCTGGGCTTCTGCACTGCTGCTGCTCGCTCCAGAGTGGGGGACATTCTCGAGCCCTCAATAGTTTATACAGACCATAAACATCTGGGCTCGAAGGCTGAGTAGGGAAAAAGGAGGTCTGGAGAGCTCTCTCTCTTTCTCTTTCCCTCGCTCTCTCACTCACTCTCTCCCCTCTTTCTCCTCTCACAACATTTTTATTGAGCTCCCCTTGCATTAGTTCTTTCAATTGGCAGATTATCACTGGTGCAGAGGGGCTCAACGGCCTGGCTCCGCGCCCTTTACTGTTAGCTGTCTGCTGTTAGCCACCATTACAGAGCAAGCAGTCTGTGGCTGCTCACTCGACTGCTGGGGTGCAGACACTCAACACTACAAGAATTTATGTACATATCACATTAGCATAAGTGGGGGAGGATAATAAGCAGTTGCTAGTCATGTAAACACTGAGATGAGCTCAGCTGTAATTGAAGCTAGCTGCTTAGAGGTGCATAATAATTGTACTTGCAAACCAATTGCCAGTTAAGAATGTGGATATTGGAGAATTGGTGCAAAACCATGACAAAAAACATATCTTACTGCAATGCCTGTGCATCGCAACTATACAGTTAAGTAAGGGGAAGATTAAGGTCATGGCAAAGTGACGTTTGGTCTACGTTTGCTCTGATAGTGTGTGTGTACAATCGGAAGAAACACTATAGCTGTGTCCCAATTCAGGGGCCATATCCTTCGGTGGACACAAAGGTGTGGCCCTTCGTAGCCATCGTAGCCGTCGTAGACTGAAATGAGATGGTCTGGCACACGGCGGGTTTTCTCTCTCTTCTCTGCATCACCAGCTGTGCCCGCCCTAGCAACCTCGACAACACGTAACTTTTTCTCACAAAAACTTGAGGTTTTAAGGCCTTGGTTTTAACAGTTGTACCATTAGCTGTTGAACTGAGCTGAAACCCAATACTTATATTTAAGCTAACATTAAGCTAGCTGTTGATGGTCAGAATATACCTCCAAAGCATAGCTGACCACTGGTTAAACCAGACTGCCTCATTTTCTATTTCTGGGTTAAGAACAGAATATGAGACGCGTGCGTGTGTAGACTGTTATGTTTAAAGGCACTTTTGACAGAGCTGGAGGCTGAGTAATTAACGCAAAGTAATGATTAATGTAACTGATTATTTTGTGCTTGAGAAATGAGTAAATTGATGTAATTACTTTTTCGATCAGTAGCATGTAATGAGTAATTAAATACATTTGAACTTGCTCAACACGGCTGACAAACAATGTGAATTAGATGTTAGAAAACACTCACATTGGTTGTTTTGGAAGGCAATGACGAATGATACTTTGTGGTTTGGAAGACCTGTTGGAAATTTCACTATGTAAGGCTGGCGTGAAGTCAGACAGCAGGGCTAGTCAGTGCAGTCTTTTATCCTATAAAGCTAAAAGGATGACTTACCGTTGGCTGGAGACCATTCAGCCCCCTTGAGGTGGCAGGATGCCCAAAACCGGGGGACTGGGACCCTCAGTTTGTTGACAAAGCTCAGACCACATGTTTGAGGCAATGGTATCACATAGCTCTACAGGATAAACAGCAGGGGCCCAATGGAGGTCCGTTACAATGCTGAGCAAGCCCTGAAGGACCTCTGTCAATATTATGGGTGTGCCAAACTGGAGGACGGGAGCATTTGAAAGAGCCGTCAGTCATAGGAATGACACAAAAGAAAATTGTTTGTGGATGTTATGTAATCTCACAGACTCTGAGCAGATGTGACAGGAGAGGGGAAGAGAGTGAGGGTCTTAGAAGCTGAACATTGGCCAGTCCTCCCACTGTGCTGTCAGATTACCGGGACATGTTTGTTTTCTGAGAGAGGAAGAGGCCGTCCAAATAAATAGGCAGCAAAGCCAAGATTCCCTCCACCAAACTGTCAGCTGTGGTCTCTCCCTCTCCCTCGCTCTCATTCTCTGTCTACCTCACTCACCCCTACGCTCTCGCTCACTCTCACTCTCTCTCGTACAGCAGCCCTGCATTTGTCTGTGGGATGGTTTGAGGTTTTCTCAGCAATGCTGCCTGTTTGCCTGTCTGGGTCAGCCCACATATGTGGCACACAGTAGGAAAAGGGTTAACAACCCCTTCCTCCCCCTTCTCTCCCTCGCCCTCATTTTTTCTGTCAGTCTGTTCATCTTTCTCTTACACTTTCCCCCTCATTCCAGAGATGGTGCTCTGGTGGCTCGCTTGCCCCTCCGCGCTTACACTCTGCGTGTGGAATTATTTTTGTACGGAGAGCTGCATTTGATTGCTGAGCAGGGACCCTGCCTCATACAATGGCTCCCCTGTTCTGAGGCCCCCAGGTTTCTAAACTAGACCCAGAGCCTTGGGGGTGCCGTGGAGTAGGTAGAATTGGGAGGGGTGGGGTGTTGGGAGGTTAGAATACATTTGTGGAGCACCCCACTCCCCCCCCCCGGCCACCCCCTAAAAAAACAGACCCCTAGTCGGCCACCATGGGCCCCTTCACCCCCCAATCCCAGCACCAGCAGCACAGTGAGTTAGGTAAAAATCCTACACCAAATCTCAAGAAAAGCACATCACAAATTGAATCTTTCTTTACAGCTTTTTGTTTGTTCTTTTTTTATGTTGCTCCATTCACAAAAGGTATCTTCCCCACTCAGCAGCTCCCCCCTTCTTAGTGCTCAATCTCAACACTACCCATGTAGTAGCTGCTCTTGTGTTTTCTCTGTGCATTTTTGGGTCTGTTTTTCCACTCGCTGATTTATGCCTGGGGGCAGCTAAAATTAAGAGAGCATTTTGGTGCCGCCCAGGGTGCCTGTGTAAGTGGAGGAATGCGGCGCAGAGTTCTGCTCCATAAGGTGAAATGAATAGGCAGACATAAGCAAAGTCTTGCCTCCCTGACTTTATTATTAAGGAGCAGGGTTTGCCCTTAAAATGCTGACAGGCTACGGGCTTTTTCCTTCGTATTAAAGACGTTTAAAGGACTGTCTGTGTGCTGGCTTTGCTTTATTTGGAACTAGATTTATGTGTCAGGAGTTATTTTCCTTCTGAGATTATTTTTTTAAGATAAAGCAGGAACACAATTCAAAAGATGAAAAGGACTCAATAGTGCTGCGTGACAGTAATTGAGCTGAACTTTTTACTGCCACCTGCTGGCTATTGTTGTAACCTATTGAGGTTTTTGTCACCCTTGCTTCAGTAAGGGTGCACTGAGGTTACTCTGAAATACACCTTCCTTCCCCTTCCTTCTACCTTCTCTGACCTACTTCAACTTTATGTACCTTCACGGTCTCTCAGGTCTGCTGATCAGCTGCTCTTAGTGGCCCCGAAAACCAGGTTGAAACTCAGAGGGGATCCGGCATTTGCATTTGCGGCTCCAAAACTCTGGAACGAGTTGCCTTTACACGTTAGGCAGGCCTCTTCACTGCCTGTTTTTAAACCTTTTCTTAAAACGCACCTCTTTTCCTCGGCCTTTGACATAGTCTGAGATGTTGCCTTTTCATTGGTTAACTGTTAACTGTCTTTTTTGTACTTTTAATGTGAGATTTTTTTGTATTTCATTGTTATTGTACAGCACTTTGGTCAACAGTGTTATTTTTAAAAAGTGCTTAATAAATAAAATTGGGATTGGATTGGATTGGATTCCTTTAAAGCTATTCGTCATATAAATTCACAGCTGTAAATATCCTGCAAGATCATAAACCAAACACTTATAGAAGCATACTGCTAATGTTGAACCTTATAAGTGCAATAATGTGTAACACTGTTAATTACTGAACGCTCATATATTCTATTCATATCTTTTTGTGCTTGTCTATGGTGTCATTCATTATCTCATTTCATTACAGGTAGCTCATCATTATCCTACAATACACCATCTCACACAGACCCATCCCCACGTCTGGTTGCCAAAGAGGGTAGGAACTCCTTTTGTTCTCTATTCTCTCTCTGTTCTGTATTTCTGGATAATCTTATGATTTGGATTGGTGTCACTGTTTTATATCAGGGGAGTGTGGTCAGAAATGAGAAGTCAGAGAAGTCTCCTCTGCCCTGTAAAAACTATAAAAAGGCTAATTCTACTCCACAGTACCCGCCAGCGTCAGACAAGCAGATACAAGCAGATACACACACACACACACACACACTTGAGAATATACAAGCCCACTCGCACAAATCCAAAACACATGCACAAGTCAGTGATTGCCATTGACAAAGCTCACGGCAGGTGCACCTTTTGTGTTGTTAAAATAATATGAGCCAAGCTGCTACAGCAGACCGTGCTATTTAGAGCCGCTACCTGAACACTGTGACAACACATCGTGGCTCAGAGGGGGCGGTCACAGAATAGAGGCATATTAACAGCAAGACAAAGGCGGTGTGCTGATGAGTCCTATCCACAGCAGCAGGGGCGAGAACAGACTGTGAATGCAGAAGCAGGAGGACGTGAGACATGTGAATGAGGTTGTTTGATGGAAAGACAAGCATCAGAGACAGGTGCTGAAGCAACAATGTGTAAGGCAAACATGTGTGAAGCTTGGCTGCTTCAGGCCAGACTGGAGTGGAAAGGAGACGATGTGTATGCAGGTTCTTTACTGTAGAGAGGATGACAAAAGGTTAAAGGGAGAGGAGGGGCTTTTGTCACTGGAATAAACTTGCCAATTCTTGTCACTCTGCACATTTGACACTTCGCAAAGTGGTTATAGCATTTTTTATGAGATTACTGTCACTGTCTAAGAAACACAACATAGGTAATGTTCGATTCAAACATGTGGCACAGTGAGTACTGAGTATGAGCCTGCGAGATATTCATCTTAATACACGGTTTTATTCTATTTTTTAACAACACAAATCAGTTTTACTAAAAAAAAATAAAATGCAATTTACTCTTATTTGGTCTTTTTCAAGGTATTGTCACTTCTGTTTTAAAAGGTGCCCAAAGTAGCAATAGGAACAATAGCAAGCAGCTCACCACAACTGGAGATCTGTCATGTGTTTGTTATTGAGAGGTTTCTTAATGGATTGAATGTAAAACTAAAAGAGGGGCTCTATGTTTGCATTCTTATGATGTGAGATTCCTGGTGATTGCGGTTCACAGGTGTCTGAGCTGACCACAAACGCCTGAATCTGTGTTTACATTGACAAAATCTATAATAAAGTAGAAATGCAGCTGTCAAATGAGATCTGTTGTAGTGTTGGTCCTGTGACTCTTGCAAAAGCAAAGCTGAGTTTCTAAGAACAATGACCATGGCAGCTCAGGATGATTGTCTCTTTCCTCTGGATACCTTCTCACTCTACAAACATTATTTTGTGCTGACACAACATGAACTAGGCGAAGGCTGCGCTGCCTAACTGTTTAAAAAAGCTACACATCCTTTACATCGGCTATACAGTGTCACCACCAGAGACGAGAGAAAGGACTGCAATAACAATGATAGCCTCGCTTACAGGATGAGGGGCCCTATCACGGCAGGAGGAGAGGAAACACTAGGTCTGATAAGAGTCCGAGAATGCCCTCTGCCTCCTTCTCTATCTGCCCCAGTGGTGAGCATTAGCAGGCTGCGTACTTGTTAACGCCCGACTTCAATACCAATAGACCAATGGGCAGGCCAGATAAGATTCTGCTCGGTCACCCCCGACCCCGGTCTTCCTGGTTCTCAGCGCCAGGTATTTGGACTGGCAGGAATAGAGCGTCACTCCCTTCAACAGCATTTCCCTTTCACAAGAGGTGACTTCTATTATAGGCTCCTGTAGCACTGACTGCGCCTCTACTTGTGTCCCGTGATCCCAGCCTGTGTATAGCTTCTAGCTGCCTGTGACTCCAACAGGGTGACTTTCCATGTATTCCAAAATAAAATGTTATCACACTGGTGCCCATCCAAATTGACATGAATCGCTTAACTTATTAATCACATTAAATACCACAAAGTGTTACTTTCATGCAAAGTTAAATGAAAAAAGAGAGGAAGAAGAGAAGAGGTAGAAAAAACATTAAAATTGGAGCTGGTAGTTTGTGACTCAACAATAAAACAAGTGTTGCTTCAGGAGAAGCCTTTATTAACATTTTCACAGATCAGTATTGCCAGATGTTCAAGTTCATATTGCCTTTTGAGAACAGTCAAATACCATACAGGCTCTTTGGGGTAGAGTAAGCACGAGCATACAGCAGGAGACAACCCTTAATCTGCTCCAGACTCTGTGGTGTAAAATGCAATGTTATGAATAAAAGAGAGCATATAAAACACGGAATGCAGCAGCTATGAAAGGGTGTGTGTGTGTGTGTGTGTGTGTGTGTGTGTGTGTGTGCAACTGGTGGTGTGTGTGTGTGTGTGTGTGTGTGTGTGTGTGTGTGTGTGTGTGTGTGGCTGCATGTTTCTAAAGTCTGTGTCTACTATTTGCCTGTGGATAGGCATGTGTGTGTGGGTGAGTTCCCGTATGTCCTAGTACAGCATGTATTACAGTATGCATTTACATTATGTTTGAGTGAGTATGTTGGGAGCTATGTGTGCATTGTACATCTGGGTGTTACATTTATACATGAGATTTCTGCTTTTTGGCCACTTTTCTAGCTTTTTTTTTTTTTTTCCTCCATGTGATGAGTCTTTGCACCTTTTTCAATTTTAAAGTCTCTCTTTTGTGTTGCAGCTTTGAAATAGTGGATTTTTATGATTCGCAGTATGGACACTCATATTCTCCGCTGCTTCTCTGTGACTGAGGGAAGATGATGATTCACCTCTGTGAAAGTATTTATTTTGCTGCCAAGTCCAAGTGGCAACACAACTTGAAGTGCGCCACAAGATGTTGTACATCTGTGACTTTCAATTACTCCCTTTTGTTTTTCGAAAGTAAAGAAATAAATGGAATAAAAACAGGGTGGGCTAACAAAGCTTGCGCATCACTTCTGCCCTTAATGTGTTTAAGTTTGCATGTGCAGCGGAGTTGTTGTCCCCTGTTAGTCTGAAGTGTTTTTGCAGTTGATGCTTCTCTCTCCTCTGGAGCACCTACTGCCTCCTCACTGTGTATAACTCCTGTACTTTGCCATTATTCTCCTCCTCCTATGGCTCCTTCTTCACACAGATGGCTTTTAAAGCACCTGTATTATGGGTATTAAAAAAAGTTTATCCTGTCTGGGTCTCTCTCCTTGGCTCAGACTCTGGGTTAAAAACAGTCCATGACTTGCCTCTATCTCACCTTGTACGCACAGTTGCTCTTTCTCTCTCTCTCCAACTCTGTCTCCCCTCTGTCTTCAACCTTCTCTCTCTCTCTGTCTCTGTCTCTCTGCCTCTCTCTCTCTCTCTCTCTCTCTCTCTCTCTCTCTCTCTCTCTCTCTCTCCCGCTCTGTCTAGCATTCGGGCCTTGTTTTGACTAACTGGTCCTGCAGTCAAAGTCTCCCAGGAGCGTGCACCACACCCCAGACCAGAGTGGAAACTGGCTCAAGTCGCAGTCAGAGCGAGGCCTGGAAAAATGAAGGCGGGAGGGAGGGGAGATGAGGGGGATGAGGCGGTTGTGTGTGTGTGTGCGTGTGTGCATGTGCATGTGTGTGTCTGCGTGCGTGCGTGCGTGCATGCGCACACATTCGGGTCTGGGTCTGTGTTTGCGTGGCTGGCTCGTGGCTCGTACCGCGTACCCCTCAACCACTTGGGCTTTTGTACGTTTTACATCTGCTGCCTCTTCCTTCTTCTGCACTTTCACTTCCACCTCGCCACTTTTCTCTAGTTCCAATTAACCCCCAAAATGGAGTTATTCTATTGGTGAAAAGCTTGACTTGTTCAGTGCATTTTGAGATTTTTTATTTTTATTTTTTGGCACTCTATTTGTCTATTCTCGCTTGCATGTTGGTAAAAGGAAAATTGTTATTTAGGTTGATGTAATCTGGTGCCAACAGCTACACCCAGGGTATCAAAAAGATGTGGATGAGCCCACATTACTGCTGGGCATCTCCTCTAGCTCATACCAGACAGGAGCTGGGTTTGCTGCCGTTGTTTTCTTTTCAAATTCCAAAGTTGTGTTTCGTCTGACTCTATTTTTTTTTGTCATTATTTTTCTCCACCCTCCCTTAAGTTTCTTCTTCTCCTCCCTTTTCGTGCTTTTTTTATGCACTTACTCACTCCGTCCTCATCTCCATCTGTCTGCTTCTCAATAATCTCTCTCTTTCCTTCACCCTCTCATCTCTCCTTCATTCGTCTCTGCTTCTTCTCCCCCACCACTACCAACTCCTCTTCTGTTTGTAACCCCCCCTCTCTGCACATAGATGGAGGTAGCCCCCGTTGTGTTTTTTTTTTTTTTTGGTGTGGTGGAGAGTGGATGGAGGGCTGGGGGTTGGGGGGGGGGGCTGGCGGTGAGGAGAGGGGAAAAAAGGGCCAGTAAAACAAAGAGAGGTTGTCTGCAGGCGAGGCAGGCAGGAAACGCAAGTCTCCCAGGACTCTCCCCCAGTCACTGCTCCTTGGCTATCCTGCCGGCCCACACCAGATTGAACCTGACAGCCCCGCTGAGCCACGGCAGCCCACTTGTTATTTGTCCTTTTTCTCCTTCTTTTTGTCTTTCTCTCCGTTACACTCGCCTTTCTTTCATCTGTTTGATCATACTCTAATGTATTCATTTTTTCATGCTTTGTTGCATAGTTCATTTCCTTCATTTCACTTTATCCATATGTTTTTTGCACCGTCACTTGCACTGTCTTACATTTCTCTCCGCTGCCCTCTTCCCAGTCACAGAGACCAGATCTCCTCCTGTTGTCTGCAGACAGGAACACACCCCTTGACTGAAATTTCAGGGGTTAAAAGTTGAAAAGTTAGAAATTAGTGAGGAGATCAAGAGGCCCCCGAGCAGCAGGAACTTTCCCCAATGGAGGATATTCCGCTCGTGAAGAGTGAAAACAAGGCAACAAAACATCCTTTGAAAGTAGCACAAGACACACGTAATTTGATTTGAAGTGTTTTTACATTTTCAGTGGTGGATTATGAAATGAGTAAAACAATAAAACACTTGTCTGGTAGGTTACCAGGAAAACTTTGTTTTCATGGTTGCAGTGAGATTAGAATCTAAAGTTCAATTGTGCTGATTCAGAGTACCTTATTATTTGTTGTTCATTTCAGGGAAAGCAGGCTGTCAGTATGGTCTGATCCACAGGAGGGCAGTGTTGTACAGTGTGTAGAAATGGCCGGGCATGCAGCGGCTGCAGATCATAAATGTGTTGTTACTGGATGTTTCTCTGGTGTGGCTGTGTGAGGTCTTGCGGGTCAAGAAGGCACACAAACTCCAAGTGTATTGTTGTCATGAAGATGGCCACCTTCATTTGTTTCAGGCACAACTGAGCTTTCTACATTTCCAAAAAACATGTATTGTTTGACAAGTGTCTCGCATATGAAATCAATGGACCTGTCCATGTAAACATGACGAAGATCTATAAAGTTTTTAGACAAATATGTGGAATTATATTACAGTGCAGTGATAGACAGCTCATTAGCATGTGAATTATTTAAATGCACCGGATGAAACACAAAAGAGAATAACTTGAAAACTAATAAATATTCATGTCTGGGAAAACAAACACCTACACACACAAATACACACAAAGAAGAGTGCATCTAGAGTCTGGCATCAGCGCACTCACTCCCGTCTGAAATGTCAAAACATATCATTCTAATGATCACACCTTTTCTGTTTGATAATTAATCATGCATGTGGTGTAAAAACACTTTGCTGCATTATCTATGTTTGGGTACTGATGAAGATCTGACCCTCTTTATCATGCCATGCCATATTCATGCACAATTTACACTGGCTAGTTAAGTCAGAAAAGAATTGGCAGTGTAAGATCAGCTCTTGCTCATTCTGCTTCTCTGTTAAGAGAAGAAGACACTGCCAACTTTGATTGTCAGTAAGCCTGCTTCTCAAAAAACTCAGCCTACGCTGATGGGAAATGGGATTGCCTCTTGACCTTCTAACAGCTTGCCGATCCCAGAAACAACCTCTGTCATCACCGTAACACTGTCTCTATCTGTTGCCCTCTGGGAGAAGCACTGCTGACAAAAGGATGTACAGATTGCGATAAGAGCGTGAGTAGCGTGTTGCACACAACACATATCTGGCCACAGTATGCATCATGTTTTCCCCGCACGCTGGCAACTGTTTGAACTGTTCTAGCACACAATGATACTAACCATCAAGGGTGGCTGGCCAGGTGCACTGTGACTACACTGGGGTGTTTTTTGAGACACTGCCAAGGGGAACGTTACACCCTCTGTTTTCTATCTGCTTGTGTCAGAGGGATTGATTGGTACTGGAAGCCGTCCACCTTCACACTCACTCAGCTTCGCAGGTTTGAAGCGCAGACGCACCGCACGGAGAACTCGTGCAAACTGCGCCAGTTTGGCTGCTTGTCAAGGTTTCAGAAAAATTAGATTGTGTGGGGAGATAGGATGAGGGTGAATATCAGGTGCATTTATTGTCTGTGTGTGTGTGTGTGTGTGTGTGTGTGTGTGTGTGTGTGTGTGTGTCTCTCTGTTGTACGTTAATTTGCATCAGACCCTTTATTTGTGGTCAGAGTGTTGCAACCTGCTCAACCAACTGTACTGTCTGTCAAAGATTGTGCCATCTACATTTTAACCACCGCAGCGTTCCAAACAAAACCACATTAGCATGTCCAGATATCCTGTGAAGAGCATCTTGAACCATGTTTTGATAGATTTATTGATGCTATTTGGCGCTGTTCTCCCCTGCTTTTATTCTGTGACAGTTGCATTCCTGAGAGTGGCTAGCACACAGTGAGATGAGACACTTATCAGTAGTCACGTACACACACACACACACACACACACAGGCAAATTTTGAGATTGCAAAATGACTAAATACATAGGAATTTGGTCAGACAGCTGCATATTTCTATAGCACTGAAGTACATCCACTGATCTTTTATGAGTTGTGCACATTTCTCACCCTCTTTGGAGAGAAATTGGGAAACATTTTTAAAATATACTCAAACTCCTCCATTTCTTCTGTCTTCCTCAGACCCTTCATATGATGCTGTACGGCGGACAGGATGGTCAAACAACATGCACAGCGGCAAAGGTGAGGACACAGAAATCATTAAAGACCTTAATGTATTATGTTTGACTGCATAATACTGGTAGAGTAAGTATAATTGGCTGAGAGGGCATGACTCTACATTTCACCTGAGGTGCTTATTGAGTCATTTGGTAGATTGTGCAGGTTACAACATCCAGATTATCTACAAATACTGTTTAACCTAAGTCATCATCACACTAGTGGCGTTCCAACATCCACAGAGGGAGTCTAGACATGTGGGACAGACCCCTGACCGATTACAGCCTCTGTTGTCAGAACATGAACAAACAGTCAAAAGAAGTCAGTCCAGCCACCAGTTACTGCCTTATTTACTTTGGACCTCTGCTGACTTGCCTTCAAGATGTGTGGGTCGGTTATCTGCAGCCACCCCACCGATGTTTTCTCTGAACCTTTTCATCTCTCTCTCTCTCTCTCCTTCCCTAATTGTCTCTCTCTGTCTCTCTCCCTCTGCAGGCTCACCAGTGGTTACTCAAAATGTGACCAAGTCCACTGAGCAGCCCAGAGCTCAGCCAGGTAACAGCGTACCTTTGTCTATAATCAATTTAATTGTCGTGAATTTGTTAATATGACCATCAGATTCCCTTTCTTCATTTCTTTTCTTGACATGATTAAATCCTCACAGCCTCAGAAATGTGGAAAACTATTATTTACAAGTGATTCACCAGCAATTTAATAAGTCTACCACCGAGCGTGTTACTACCACTACTATTGGTATTTTTTCCCTTATCTCTCAACCACACATCTATTAGCATGTGTAATTGGTTTTCCTAGTCAGCTCATTAGTTAGAGGGTGTGCAGTGCATGATAATGCACACACACTAATACTAAGACTTGACCACATAACACTCTCATTTTGTACGTGTTTTGCATATTTAGCTAGGTTTACTCAACCTGAACTATGATGTTACGAGCTAAAGTAAAGAAGAGGAATTTTTAAGCTGTTATAAAATTGTCAGCATCAGCTGTTGCTTGGCAACATGTTTATTTTGTCTTCAGTCTTCCATACTAATTAGTACAGGCCACATGCTATTATATCATATGAGTAATCAGTGTGTGTAGACCAACACAGCTCTGCTTTTGTCCACAGATCCTTACCAGATTCTTGGTCCCACCAGTAGTCGCCTAGCCAACCCAGGTAACATTATGAGCACACCCTGGTCTTAACAACGCGACTGCTGTGAATGGGCAGATGTTACTTACATCACTGGACAGATAATGAGACATCAAGCTGTGGACAATGAATAATGTATTTGGTTGCGTTCTTTGTTGGATGAGGCTGAATCTCTCTCTGACCAGTGTTTTTGTGTGTCCACCATCAGGTTCAGGTCAGATCCAGCTGTGGCAGTTCCTCTTGGAGCTCCTGTCTGACAGCGCCAATGCCGGCTGCATCACTTGGGAGGGCACCAATGGCGAGTTCAAGATGACGGACCCCGATGAGGTGGCGCGGCGCTGGGGCGAGCGTAAGAGCAAGCCCAACATGAACTATGACAAGCTGAGCCGTGCGCTGCGCTACTACTACGACAAAAATATCATGACCAAGGTGCACGGCAAGCGTTATGCCTACAAGTTCGACTTCCATGGCATTGCTCAGGCACTGCAGCCGCACCCCACCGAGTCCTCCATGTATAAGTACCCCTCGGACCTAGCCTATGTGCCTTCCTACCACGCCCACCAGCAGAAGGTCAACTTTGTATCCCCACACCCTCCATCCATGCCCGTCACCTCCTCCAACTTCTTTGGACCCACTGCTCCATACTGGAGCTCGCCCACTGCAGGCATCTACCCCAACCCAAATGTTCCCCGCCACCCTAACACCCATGTGCCTTCCCACCTTGGCAGTTACTATTAAAACACCCCTTCCTGTCCATCCACCACCCTCTAAAACTTCCCCTCTCTCAACATCAAAGTCCACAATTGCTGACCTGCACTCCCAGTGACGCCAAACCGATGAAGACTGAATTGATGGAGGCATTTGTCCTCTGAAGAAATTTTGCTCCTAAATGAAGGATGATTAAATTGAAGGACTTTTTTTTTTATATATGTAAGAATTTATAAACAACTGGATGCTATGCTCCAAAATGGAATACTACTTACCTTTTCAAGACTAGCAACTGTTTGTTTATGTTTTTTGGACGTGCGTCTGAGTTTCCTGTGCCTTTTTATTTCCCTTCCTCCTGAAAGCTGCACCCACAGGTGCCCTTTCCAAAACCTTCCCAAATCAAAGCCTGAGGACAGGAGAAACAACCCGAGTCTGTCTGCCTCCTCACCCTGCTATCTTACCAGACATGGGCCTATTATTCATGGGTCTCAATCTACATCCTCCTCAGTACATTATGTACATTACGCTTTAAAGCATCTGCCTTTTCTGCTTGTCAACAGCCTTGTCCGGGGTTTCTTATTCTCGTCCGCTCGTCTGTCCATCTGCATCTTTTTATGTGTGTGTGGAGAGTCTTCTGGAATTCGCTGGATAAGGAAGAGCTCTCAAAGGGACGGACTTTTCTCAGCACTGAATGAAAATTTGGCAACTGGAATATGCCATTCACAATTTAATTTATCCTCCAAACTGGAAGGCTAGAGAAGAGTTAAATGCCGCAGAAGGAAGCGCTGTATGTTTTGCTGACCTGGGTCAACTCAGTTTCTTAAAATGCTTTCTGTGTGTTTTGTTGTGGAGTTCACGACGGGCGATGTGTACAGTTGAGTCGTTTGTGCTGGGTAAGCCGAGTCAAGATGTAATTGAAGTCATTTGCAACAATAATTCAACCCAGGTCAGATGTTTTCAGGGGGCCACACACTAGGCTACTACAGTAAATGTTTGCCATGTTGTTGCCTTTCAGCCATTCCATTTCCAGATGTTTTGTTGCTGGACTGTGTCAGTATTAATGTGAATGTCTTCTGGTTTGTGAAACACGTAAAAAGGGATACCCCTGCAGCAAAATCAAAATTTGTCAGATGTTTTCATTTTGTTAAAACTTTTTAATGGAGAAAATAAATTCCTTCAAACATAAGACCATGGTTGCTGCACCTGTCTAAATCTAAAACATATAGATATTATCTACATAACAAAGCTGAAGGCTTAATGTTGATAAGTGGATGTTATTGTTTTTTTGTTTTTTTTTTATACCTTACAGTGCATCTACTTTTACTATGTGGTGGTTTACTATGTGCCATAATGAGACCCAAAACCCTAACCATCAAAGTATTAGTGCCATGCCTTAACTGCTGTTTTATACCATATATTTCTATTCATTAAAGATGAAACAGCATTACAGCTTACAAATGTATTGTGAAGTACATTAATAATTTCCACGTCTGACCAGAAATCTGACAATTTTTGATTTTGAAGTGCACTCTGACAATAACGGCTGCCACGGTGTCTCCTTCCTCTATGTAGGCCAGTCAGGACCGTATAGGTCAGCACAGAGAAGTGGCTTAGCAGTAAGTCATGTTAGTGGACAGTCAAGTTGCATTTTTTTTACAAGGGCTGGATCCTAGTTTGAGAGCAGCATGTGTGTTTGAATGTTAGTTTCTCACTGATCTAGAGCCCAGCAAAATGCACATGAATCTCAAGTCAGGATTTCATCATCATCATGTAATAGTATCATATCAAAACATATCCATCTTCAGGTGTTCAAAGCTGTTTATAGCAAAAGTATTCCTTAAGAGTAACTGAGAATGGACACTTGAAAATAAATTACTTGGGACTAAGTAGTTTATCAGAGAACAAAACCAATAAAGTATGACGAGATGAAACAAAGAAATCCTCAGATTCGCAAACGCTGTGCGTTTGTCAGACCTATTTTTTATTATTTTATAAGCATCAGTCAACTAGGCATTAAAGCAACTTACTGTATAAATTATGCAGAGTTATTTTCATATGTGACACAGTATAAAAAAGTCAAGAGAATTAATACGAGTTGACCTCGGTCAAAAATGCAAACCTTTTGAGTCCATTTCTGCTAAGTAGTGTGTTCAGCATTTAAGCGTTTTTATATCTGTACATTTGGGCAATGCATTTTAACATTTTTGTTGTCTTGTTGTTGTTATTGTTTCTGAAATTCGGTTGTAACATCTTAAATGCCTTTAAATGCACAAGATATTTTCTTGTATTCCCAAAACCATAAATGCCTGCTTGAATCATAATCCAATAGCCAGGGATTCCTCTCCTCTATTATGCAACATGTGGTTAAGATGGTTTGTTTCCATTTTGAATCACTTTTTTTATGCCAGACTGCCCTCAGATTGGTAGCTTTTCCTGTGCATTAAAGAATTTCAGGTATTTTATGCAAAAACAGTATTAATATCCACAACCCGCTTCTCATGAAGATCTATAGCTTTAAAAGAACAATAAAAAAGGGAACATGTAATTTGTAGCATAAAGAAATTATTGTAATGTACCCTTCCATGTTTCACAAGCATTGACAATGAAAAGGGATCTGTGCTACTTCGTATATGCAATGTATTTTGGATATCAAATATATATATATATATAGATATGTGTGTGCGTGTGTGTGTATGTGTGTGTGCGTATGTGTGTATAATTTTACAATTAACCAGTGTATTATTATTATTATTGTAATTCCTGAAATGTATGAATACCTTTTGGAAAAGGGCTTTTGTATAGGAAAATGTGACAAAATAAATGTTTTTACCTCTCATGCCATCTTCCATTGCCTGGCTATGGCTTCAGCAGAGTGTCGTAGAAACAAAGTCGCAGCACATTTTCAGAAACCAGATCTACAAAAGTACAATACAACAACCTTGATAGTGACTAGCACATTTAGGACAATACTTGTCTCAGGTGTGTTGAAAATTCTTTTGCCTCAAATTCATGACATTTCTTGCAACTCGTCAGACATTTGCAAAGCATATTTGTTTCTTTAAGTAATAATGTGTTGCATTTGATTATTCCATATAGTATGATGATAACACTTGTATTCTTGTATTTACAAATGCAGAGGGTAAGAGGGGGTTAGAAACCTGCTTTTCTGCTTTTCTGCCTCCTTATCTCAAGCCCGCTTTGTTAGTATCTGCAACAAGAAACAAAACAAAGCATGTATTCATTCTAACAAAACAATCTGGAATTTAATGACCACTTTTCAGTGTATACTTTGGCATCTTTAGCTTGTTCATCCTTGAAAGATTTGATATCCGATTACAATATAATCAAATTTGTGCACAAACTAACAATGACAAGGGACTATGAAAATTTTGACTTGACTTGACTTTTACTTTTTCAAGTTTTCATTCACTGGTCTTTTAGATGCACTTAATGCAGTATAATACAACAGCCATGCAAGAAATCCTGCTTCCATGAAGGTTATAATGCTTAGTGTGTGTTTGAAATTGTTTTCAAGAGGCCTGGATTCAATATGATGGTCATTTTAGAGGCTGTAGTTGGTGGTGCTGTTGAATGTATGGTGTCATACTGGTGTTATACGTGATGTGGATGTTTCTAATCTGTACTCAACATATGTTAATGAAGGTAGAATAAACATTACACTGTGTTAGTTTTAGCTGGCTGTTCCTGATAAAGTAGCAATAGAGAGTATAACTTAAGCATTTATCATTTCCAGTGGAAGGAAGGGTGAGGAAACTGCACCATTTTTTACAGGCTTTCTTTTCTTGATGCCAGCTTTTTGTCATGTTGATCAGAAGTTCCATTTTGTCATTGCTAAAATAATGATTAACTGTGTTTATACCCTTTCCAGTTCTATCAGGTTTTTAATCAACAGATTATTCAAGGCCACAAGCTGTGAGCAAGGGAATTGTACATTTCTTTATTTGTAGAAAGTGACACAATAAAGACCCAGATGTGGAGGCGCTGTCTAGAAAAAAAAAAAAAAAAAGATTTTTAGTTTTACCTTAACCATTACAGACCTGCTCTTTCTTATCTTGTGAGATCATCAATAGATCAACCATCATTTGACCAATCAAATTAGTTTACCAGTTACCACTTGATGATATCCCTTCAGACAACTGGCACCACTTGGATAAGTTCAGGGAATGATTGTGTCATTTCTAAATAGTAAAGGTGTCAATACTGACGATAGACTGGCACAGATCCTGAAACCCATGCCATGTATACACCCATCTACCACCGCGACCTCCAATTCCTTCTGTTCTGATGTAAATGTCAAATCCCGACTGAATGTCATTCAATGTTAACTACACATGCACGCAGATGGGCTACATATAAGCATGAGGTGTAAAATCACTTTACAGGTAGGTCTACTCAGTATTTGCCTTCATACAAACATGCTAATAAGTTAATTGTCGGTTGCATCATTTAATTCTCTTTTTGAACACAGCTTGAAATGACAGGTGTTGGTAATTGAACAACCAGTGTGTATACATGGCGTCTGTGTCAGATGACAGCTACAGCCTTGCAAAGTGCCCTTTTATTTTGCATATAGAAGCATGAAAACACAAATAGAAGGCACAGTGAATAGCCATCAAGACAGAGGTGGGCTTGTTTCTTTATAATTAAAATATGCCTGTGAAGCATTTATCATCTTTATGCTACTTAGTAATTTCACATATTTGTCAATATTCATAATCTTTTACCCTGGCTTTGCCTATTGCTGTGTGGTTAGCTACAGCAACATCCCCGGGTGCAGACACACACAGAGGACTCTCAGCATATGCAGTTCATTAGAGAGGGCGTAGTGGGAGGTCCGCCTTAACAAAACCTGTCAAAGCTCCATGCTAGCATACAGTATGTGCTGTTATTTCTCTAAATGGAGAGTTCTGGTTTCATGTTCAGAATCTGCAGGCAAAATAGTGGGCAATAAGCAACAGCTCTCATCTTCCAAACACTACCACTCTGTTGTGTTTAGGCCCCTGTTTGCTGTCACAACTTCGCTTTGTTTATAGATGATAAGCCGTGATAAGGGTTGGCACCTGTCATTATGTTGCCCTGACCTTTTTGAGAACAGTCCTCCTATGAAGTTCCAGCTTCGTTAGACACCAAATAACAATAATAATAATAATGCAGTGCAGACATTTTTTTAAATGCAAAAATAGCCTTTATTTCAGTGTATTTTTCCCCTGAGACTTTACAAACAGATTTGATTTTCATGCTATAGTCAGCACTGAATGCAACCATATTTTAAGTGTTTCCTTACTGCTTTGTTCTTTCACAATGTCTTCACTCAAAAAGAAAACCACAATTACGTCACCCACTGTTTAAAAAGACTGGCCCCTGAGCCCAATCCTTTGCTATAGTGCCTCTGTGTCTGAATAGTTAAAACACTGTAATGACTCAAGTCTGAGTGTCTCTTTGTGTACGACAGCCTACAGTAGCATGAATTATTGAACCACTTTGTCTTTTTATCATCCATGACAATAGTATGCCCCCCAATCACTGGTCCTTCAAGTAATTGCAAGATTTATGTACAGGACAATTTTTTATTTATTTATTTTTTATTTTTGCCTCTCCATACTCAGTAAACCTGATGTGCAAGGCTGAAGGTATATTCAAACAGATTTTTGGGGGGGTTTTTTGCCTGTTTTTGAATTGTAGCTTCACCATCTTGCATGACCTGGCCTCCCTTTTGAAAACAGGTTTTTGGTCAGTCAATCAAGTAGACAGTGGCAGGTGTGGTTTTACATACAAATACTTCACAATAATTGTCCTAGCCAACAGACTGCTTTCTTATCTCTGTTAAACACAAAAGAATAACAAATAAGTAGGTTTGCTTTACTTCATATTTAAATGCTGCACAATGCACTGTCTGCCATTAGGTCACCCCACCTGCCTGAAGGGGAAACCCTGTTTGTCCTTTGGAGTCTTTGGGAGTTTGTCTTTGAGACATACATGCCTCAACCAGCCTCAGTTTCTAAAGTTTGTTGCTAGTCATTGTCTCCACATGTCTCCACATGTCTCCACACGTCTCACATCTTGGTGACATTCGGGGATTCATTGATATCAATCACCTCAAAGCCCTGGTTGTCATTTCCATCTTTGGAGTGGTGATGATGACCCTTGATGTTGTGGAAACAGTAGGCGCAATGTGCTGTAGCTACGGGCACCACCTTGGAGAAGTTGGAGAAATCTACTCTGTACTTGCCCTCCTTGCTTCTGGAGATGATGGGCAAGAAGTTGTAGCCCCACATGATTTCCTGAGGAATAAACGAGGTCCGCACTTGGCAGGAGGAGCTGGTGGACTCTGCTGTGCCATCCAGGAAGACGACCAGCTCAAACTCTTGCTTGTGGAGTGTGTCCACTGCCATCTCGAAAAAGGGGCTGCTCTTGTCGATGATGTGGTAGAGTGTGAGAGGACATATGAAGAAGAGGTTGTCCTTCCCAGCGTCCACCATGAAGTCAATGTTCACCTGGTCCATGATGATCGTCTCCCCGTCTGGAGTGTTTGTCGTTCTTAGCAGCTTGCCGTAGATCTGGCTTCCTATCATCAGGGTCTTTCGCAGGTTGGCCACTCTGATTGACAGGGAGAGCGAACCGTTTTTGGGGCTGATTACAGCCATGTCACTAAATGTGATGGTCTTTGCCCTCTTTTTGGGCAAAGAGATTTTGGACAGGATGATTCCACACATGAAACAGTTGATAATTGCTCCAAGGAGGGACTGAATGATGATGAGGGCCACAGCACCTGGGCAGAAAGGGGTGAGTGCTCGCCCACCATACCCAATAGTTGTCTGGGTTTCAAGGGAGTAGAGGAACGCCGTGGTGAGTCCTACAACATTATCGATACATGGAGTGTGGTCTACTGGTGGGTTTTGCCATGTCAGGTCTCCATTACTGCGTGCAATCCAGTACCATAGCAGGCCAAAAATGAACCAGCTGAGGGTGAACGAGGCGATGAAGAAGAAGAGAACAAAGCGCCACCGGATCTCCACAAAAGTCGTCCAGAAATCAGCCAGGAAGGCAAAGTGGTTGCTGTACTTGACGTTTCCATATTCAATGTTGCAGCGACCATCTTTGGTCACTAGTCTGGTCCTGCGGCTTCTTCGCTCTGCAAGACTGTCCTGGATACGTTTGTTCAAGGATCCAATCATTTCCACGAGCCCACGACCTACAAGACAATAAAATAGGAAAAAATATAGAGGCGGTGAGAAAGATATACAATGAAATTAATGCAAACTTCACACTAAGCAATAATAATCTGTTTGTGACTGTATCTGTAGCTGACTTGGGGACCCACTGCGCTATAGCGACCCTGATTAAGACAAAAAAAAAATTCTTTATGAATATGTGTAATAGAAGAAAATCAGAGCTAAAAAATGCAAATAACAAATATAGTTGATGGGGCCCCGGCTTTGCGTCGCAGTCTCTATCATTTAACCAGTCAGGCAGTGACAGGCCCTCTCAGACTGTCAGTCTTCCTTAAATGCTGTAATTCACTACAATCAAACAGCAAAATGTCACAATGATGCTGCCTGTCCAGTTCTGAAAGGGAGATTTTAAAAAAAGGAGAGGGCAAGCACATATCGCGCCAAGAACAAATATGATATATTTTATATGCAGCAATATTTAGCACCTATAGAAAGCAAAGAATGGCTCTGAAACTGACATGAAAGCTATTACATTACTGCATTTTTATGGTTTTATATATAGTGAGCACCAGTCTTACTTCTGTACACAGCAAGTATCTTCCTTGTTTTCCTTCTGGAAGTTCTTTACTCCTCTTCCCATGGTGACTGAGTCTCACTCTACTTATGTACAGTCACATATGTTCCAAGCTGCTCTGTCCCACTGCAGTTTTAATCCTCACTGAAATGCCATAATCCTGAGTGGATGCAGCACTGCTGTAAAGACCTGAAGTTGTAATGAGACACAAAAGTTTCCACTGAAGCAGAACACGTAAGTGCTGCAAATAAACCAAATGATTTGGGAATTTCAGTCCCGTGCAAGTGTCTCAAAACAAGCATCATCTTTGTTTGCAGGGTTTCAGCGCAGCAAAAATAAACGTGGCATTAAAATAATTTGGGCAACCCCTGCCAGAGGGCCAGCTGCTCGCAGACATAACAATCTTTGACTTTATTCAAGCTCCGACTTCTCGTAAGTCTGGTGCTTGATGGATGGTTAACTGGCAGTATTGGCTGCACAGAGGTTTCCAAATAAGTATGGCCTCTGTTCCTGCCAAGTCATGCAAACTACCCATTTGGATCATGGCGTGCTTGTTAGTGAGTGTGAAATAGTACAAAACGATCAGTGCAGCGAGTTTATGTTTTTGTTTTCCGCCCTCAAAGCTCACATCCAAAAGAAATCTGATAATCCCACTCTGCAGCTCGCCTGCAAACTTTAATCCTTTTGGAAGTGAACCTAGTCCATCCACACCTAATCATTACATCAGCATGTTTTCATACTGTAACAAGATATGTGCTGAAATAATTTCAGGTATGTAGGTCTTTTAATTGTACGTCTCACTGCAACTTGCTCTAAATTATTGTTTTTGCATTAGAAAACAAGCAGTTGGAGTACAAGTGGAAATGACCACTGTGACGAACTCCTGAAGAGCACCCACACAGCTTTAGTGCGTTCACTATCATGGCTCAGAGTCAAAGCATTTGAACATTAAGGTTGACCAGAGTTAAAACAGTTTAATTGTAATAAATCAATTAAAGGCTAACAATCGCTGTATATTATGCTAGAATGATAGACTTTTTTTCTTTGTATTTTTCCTTTGGTTTCCAATGTAATTACACAGGCCCTTTGAATGTATACAATAAAGGTGTTTTGGGTTTAAAGCTTTGAGCCTGTTCTATCCTTACTGGTACCAGATTTACATTTGTGAATTAAGTGAACTAAATTTTAACTACATTTTTGACAAATAACTTTTTTTTTCTTTTCTTTTTTAATCAATTATAGTGGAAACAACTAAAATGTGGGCTAGTATATAGTTAAGGAACAGTGTTGCTTCTGTTGCAATAATTGCCGTTACTGTTCATATTACTGTTATTAAAACTTCTTTCCTCAGTCATTATAATGCTGCAAATATATGGTGCTTATTCTATATGAGAATCAATGGAAACTTTCACTATTTGCATTATTAAAGTGCTGTGACTGTTACATGATTCCAGCCAGAGCAGGGATTTAGCAGTACTTTTGATTTAAAAGGGAGATTACTGGAATAAGTCTCTAATGAGCGCCTTTTTTGTGGCAAATACTTTCTCTTGTTAATGAGGTGTAAGCCAGCTTTATGAGAGGAAATTGAACCAATCCGTTTATTAGCAGCCCCATTCCATTTTTTATTTTTATTCTTTATTTTTTGTAAACAGTCACAGTAACAATCCTATTTCCATTGAATCAACTGTATCTCAAGCACTCACACTGAGAGACAGTTCTCACCACATTCCTTGCAAAAATATACAGATAAAAGTGAAGTGAACACCCTTCAATCCAAACTCACCTTTGTGATAAGAAGTCAAAGTTGTTTGATGCACATGCAAAAGGTTGATGAATGGCAATCTCCAGCTGAGCCGTCTCTCCTGTGCCTTTCTTGTTCACAACTGATTGAGAGAGTTTAGGTGTGTCCTCCTGTTATGCTTGTTCACCAATACCTGTGTGCATTTATACTGTCCTGTCCCACTGTGCTGGAATCAGCCAGGTGATGTTTACGCCCACAGAGACATCAAGTACCCCTCCGCCTTCCAACACACGCGCACACACACACATGCACACCTTTCCCTCGGCTCTAACATCTTGTGTTTACTTCTTAGGTACCTGGCTGGCACCGAGGGCCACGTTGACCTCTATCACTCCCACTCCACCACAGACTGGGTGCTGCTGTGGATTTGTAGTCAGTTGTTTCAAGTTTGTAATTTTTGAATTGAAGCCTTTTCAACTTTCAGTAATTTTGGAACAGTTAGTTAAGTGAATGTTGACAACACTAATGCAAAACCTGTGTGTACTGTATCGGCATATGGTTCGGGTTCTCTGCGTTTCAATGACAAACAGTTTGTGAGGCATTATTTACTGTGGACACACACTTACACACACAATGTATTGCTACTGTTTTGAGGAATTCCTTTTTTTTTCCAGTTGATGCCAGAATTTGGAAAGTGAACGTCTGAAGATGTGAGCAGCTAGGATGATTAGAATCATCTAGAAGGTGCTTTTTTTACCTGATGTTAATATGTTATAATAATAATGTTGTCTCTAGAGTATGTGTTCATGATAGGTAATAGAATTTCACTCATATATTCCTCAACTTTTCTAAAAAGTGTCACGATAAAAAATATGTTGAACACATCCCAGGCATAGTGTTGTCACTGTAGAGCAAACATCAGCACTTCACAGCTCAGCACAGTGCAGTTGTCTTGCTCTGAGCAACAACCATTGTCCCCTCTTCAAAACAACTAAAGAGCTGTGTTGTGATGAAATATGGGGACCAAAAGGACATAAATAGATGATGGAGTGAGACAACAGAGGTTGCTGAGATTAGGAAAGGAGTAGCTAGGATCCAAATAGAAAAGCTCTCCAGGGTCGGCCACGAACCGAATCACTTCATGAGCCAAAGTTGTTCAGAGAAGGTTCAGGAGAAAAGTTGTGAATTGCAATGGGAGTTATCTTTCAAATCTATTGTTCCCAGCAAAAGTGATACAAAAGGCTGCAGTATTACCTTGCAAGCTGCAGAATGTGTACTCTATTGACAGACACAATGCATTACTGTTGACACACAACAAGATTAGTTTCTAAATCCCTGCTATTGTAAAAAAGATGACAAGCCTTTAGCATTTAAGGGTCTTTTTATTCAGGGGGTGATTTCACCGTTTGTTTAATCGGCTCCCTCATTTTCATCCCTTTCATATGAGACAAAGGCTCGCAAGTAGCCACCAGAGGACATACCTGCACTGACTGTTGGGCTGGTTTAACAACTTAAGATTGGTGGAGGCAACATTTGATTGATGATGCAATCTGAGAAAGTTACTGCCACTGAATGATAATGACAACAAACAACAACAACAGATAAGTGCCCAGCTAGGGTGATGCTGTTTCCAACATCGAGAACGATCACAATTATCAACAGAACTGATCATTAAGAACCTCTCAAGAGCTGTTTTCATCAAATTCACGCAACTTAAATTTAGTGACCTTGTTGACTTGTTGACTTTATAATGATGTACAATTAATAAGGAATGTAAAAATCTTATGACAGCACAAAATGTTCTAAAACAGTGTAATTAACAGGGATGCAATTGTAGTTTGTGGATGTGAAAGTATATGCAATATATCATCTATCAGCAAATTTAGTCGATTGTAAAAATATTTTTATTATAAATTGAATTATTAATCAGAATCTAAGAGGTTGATTGAGTGAAATAATCAAAGTCTTAATTTAATGGGAAGGTAAAAACATCATTAGGGGAGATCATATACTGCACCAGTGTGTAAATCTACAGTATAGATTACAGACTGATGCAGTTACAGGAACAATCCAAATGTGAAGCTATTGAATACTGTACATTAGTGAGACCTATTTTCTGTTCACTGCTGCAACCTCTGGTGACAGGCACACATTGTGGTAAACAGATGTTTGTGTTTACCTTTGTACTTACGATAAGCTGATTAGTACACAAACACAACATTGTAGCTACAAGCCTTCATTGAATAGAAATACATGTTTCAACGCTTAAGTGCCTTTGATAACTGGATGTCTTGTGGTGATAGTGAACAATGGCAGTTTCTCTCCACGTCAATAGGAGCACTCAAATGAATAATGTCGGTTTCTATATCAGTTTCTGTCAATCAACTTCAGGGCCTTCACTATTTGTAAGGTGATAAGTGTTGTAACAAAGGGATAAATGAGATACAATTGGAAATGTGTTCCTGCATGTTGCTGCTTGTGCTTTTTGCATGATTAAATACTGTGTTTGCATGTCTAATAGATAGCGCTGTCACTGTGATGAAATTCCTGTTTACCGTTCAGCAAATGATTTTGTTTAAAATAATCTTAAAATATGTTTTGCTATTATACATACATCACATTATGTATATATCATTAACCGTATTTTATTTATACACAGTTAAAGTCTTGGGCCTTTTAGGGGTCAACAAAAGGCAGGCCAGAAAATCAACAATGCCTTACAATCAGGAGCTGAGAAACTGTAGAGTTGGGTGATTTTCTTTGTGGGTTTATCACTATGGGAGACACCTTTCACACAGTCATGTGATCAATTGTTAGTACAAAATTGCTAATTACTGCTGCTAACAGTCTGTTAACCCTAATGGGCTGTAATTCCTTGTGACTGGTGGTTCTTGGGAGCTGGGAAGAGGGGAGTCTCTCAGTAGTCATGTTGCGCCAGGGTTTCCCCTAGGCCGGGTCGTAACACTGAGAAATAAACCCATTTTATTGTATACTTGCTACATTTTTCAGTTCAAGTCATGGGGTCACCTACATATCGACAGAGTTAAAACTGTACGCTGAAAAAAAAACTTGACTGGAAAGACATTTTGAATAACATCCACAAATACATAAGAAATTCTTTGCAGATCAGAAAGAGTGGGTTCAAAAGTCATGACCATCCTGCATAACCTTTGAATAGTGTTCCAGTGTCTACAAGTAATAGTGATTCCACTGAACAATGGAAGAATTTCTGGAATACTGGATTATACTGTGGGTTCCAGACCTCCAAAGTAACTGAATAGGGAAAGCCATTCTTACTTTTGTTTTCATTAGTAGTAAATTGATGATTTGAAATGACAGCACTTCATAGGCAGTGAAATCAAGACCAGAGCTCTCTTTTTAAGTCTGTTAACTCCTGACTGAGGTCATGAGGCTGAAGAGGCTTTGAAGCTGTTAAACAGTCAACAAGTTGTCATGGCCCTTTAAGGTTCATATCCTGCCTCACTTTAGCCCCTTTGTGGTTCCCTTTGCTTGACCCACAGTTGCACAGTAGTTAGTCAGTGAGAGGTTGATGGTTATAGACATCAATTTTAAGGGTTCGATTTGGCCTCTCTTGTTTTTTTAGGTTTCAAGTAACCCATTGCATATGCTGCCCCTTCCATGCCAATTCATATGGTAACATACTTTTTTTTTTCTTTTTTTTTTTAATTTTTAAAAATCCTGCTCAGTTGCAAACCACATCTGGCTGTTTCATAACAGAAAAAATCTGATTGAATAATTATGAAATGTTGCCAAGAGCATTGAGCTAAAACATTTTAATAAAATTTGGTGTGAATAGAAATGACGCCTTTGTTGAGTGATTCAGACGTGGAAAGAATCACATAGTTATAGCATTCACCACATGGCTTCATATTCTATGATCTGCTGGGATGGAAGTGAAAACTGTATGTCTATACTCTGCATGGGCATGGCGATTGTGTGGGTGTGTGTGTTTGTGTGAATGGAAACAAGGGGTGAGGGGGCTGTAGGCTGATGGCAGCCATTTTGCTGGGTCATCATGTCAGTGAGCATTCATATTCTATATCAATCTTTCTCAGAGTAAAAATGGTAAAGTGCTAAATGCCAAGCATCGTAATCCCAAGCTGTGCAATGTGCTTGTGAAGCATTTGCCTCTTGTGATAACAAAAACATAAGCTGCAAAACCTTTTTTTCCAGAAGACATCTCTGCACTTTGCTGCCTAATTGCCAGCATACTTTTGCACAAGACCATCTAGTCTGGAAGACTCAGACATGTAGGCATGCAGAAAAAGCAAGCTGTTGTGACTGCAATGGCCTCAGGATCTGTGCATCCAGTATTGATGCCTTTGGGTGCAATGTGCATATCAATAGGAGCCTGTAGATGAGGACCTTTGCTGTTGAGGCTGAATGAGGTCAAAGATGAGAGAAGCCTGGCCGAGAGGTTTACGGGGATTTTCCACCAAGGGTGTAAGCTTGCATATAGACCGTAGGGACATGTCCCTACCAATATTTTGAGAGGACTGAATTATCTCTACCAATATTTGAGTGAACTCGTTCACACTATTTTTGGAGTGAAGTCATATTAGAATGTGCCCTTCAAGAGGCTATGTCTCCAAAACAACGATTTACACATGCAAACATTTGAATGACTGAAAGGGCGCTGGCTATCTGAAGGCTCATGTCATTTGAGGATATCACAGTTGTACCTAACGTCACCAGAAAAAATTACAACTGATGTTATTTAACCATGTTAGCTGCCTCACTATTATATGACGTTTTTATGCCTTAGTATAATATGACTTCTTAATTGGGAGGCACGGTAGTACAGTGGTTCTTCTTTGACGTTTTTTTTCCATACTGTAGTAGAATGCTTTTTGACTTGTTTTTTCCCTTACTATACTATGATGTTTTTTGCTGTTTCTTATACCTTACTATCATCTTACATTTCTATGCTTTTCTAAAATAAGGCTTGTTTAAAATGGAGGCATGATAGTTCAATGGTTAAAGCTCTCCCCTCACAGACTGATAGTTCAGGGTTCTAATCCATGTTAGAACCTTTAATTTGTGAGTGCAATGCTTTATTATGAATTTTGTTTTTTGCCTTGCTATACTATAATAATCATAAGCCTTGCAATACTATAATGTTTTTTCTGTGTTTTTTA